GGCATTAGATTTGACAATGATTTCCAAGGTTTAATATTATATATATATATATATATATATATATTATATATATATATATAATAATATATATATATATTAATACATATGTCAGGAGATGCTATCTTTTTAGGATATAAAACGTAAAAGATTTTCATTCTTCTCAATAAATATATTTTCGGGCTTCGAATTTATATTATTTTGTACCTTTTATGAAAATTGAGGTTTGCTTTTTACTTCTAAACTAAACTTAAATTGGTAGTGAACTTTAATTATTTTTTAATAAAATTTGAATTTATTGATGTTGGTAGAATTTTAAAATTTATTACAACATAAAAGTGAAAAAAATTATTATTACCTTTATTCCATAATACTTGTCGGCATTTGAAAAATAATTTTGTTTCTAATACTTATTAAAATTTGAGTTTCAAGAAATAATAAAATATTTTTTCATGTTTATCCTTTTTATATGACCAATAATTTCTTACTTTAATTTAATTAATTTTTTCTTAGAGAATTGGTATTAAATTGAGGGTAATATAGTCAATTTACTTCAATAATTTATTGCCAATTAAATAAATTTATAAATTTTTCTCAAAAAGACGTGAAAATTTCAAAAAGCGACAAGTATTATAGAATAGATGTTAATATTATTTTAAATAGCCAATTTTTATTTTATTGGCAGTGTGAGAAAAATTATTTGATGCAATTATTTAGCCTTCTGTCCTATTTATTATTTTTTGTTTTTTTTTTTCTTTTATTTCTTCTGTCATTACATTATCTGCCCTATTATAGCAATCTAGGAGCTGATAGACATCCTTCAATTAAGAGGCATACCTTACTTCATATGCCCAAAAAACTGCTCGATAATTTCACGATCTTTTTGTACGCATGCAATTTCTTTTATTTTTTCAATTTTTACAATAATTGAAACTCGTCAATTTGCCAGCATTTACAATTCCAATTTCAATATAATTATTGAAGGATACTTAGTAAAAATTTAATAATACCAAATTGGCCAATTTTCAATCACAGAAGACGTCGATTCCACGACTCGATCCTTGCGATCATCAAACTAGTATTTAAGAAACTAACTTGAATTTAAAGGTTTTAATTTCTTTTATCTATAACTTTATGATTGTATTATTTTTGAACCTTAAAGGAAAATACACCCCCGATGCACGAAAAATTATTTTGAGATATCCATTTTCTGTAACTTTTATGCATTCACGTTTAGTTTTGATTATGGTTGCCCTATCATGAAAGCAAAAAGGACACAGGGTTTGAAGTTGCAAGTCTTTCATTTTAGTTCTCTTCTCTGTCATAGTTTATTTTAATCATCGATAGAGATGATAGTTATCCTTCTATTAAAGAGGGCATACATACTCAATATGATTGTTTGGGAGGAAATGTTATTACCCTGCAACTTCTTGTAATGGTGGTTAGGTTGTTCCTAATGTTTGGGAAATCAGCTTTTGATAAAATTCTATCCATTCAAATCTTGCACATTCTCGCTTTCCTGGTAAGATGTTGCTGTATCAGCGATAGTAGATAAGCTGCCTTTGGAAAATGTACCATAATTTTGCATGCAACTCAAATTATCAGTTTTTATGATCCCCCCTGAAGACTTTGAATAGTGACAGTTTGAGTTTCCTACATAGTGCAAGGAGAAAATGAAGCGAGCTACAGTAGCCCACTGCCAGGTGTTACTCAAATATTTGCGGTTTAATTACAACGGTCTGAGTTATTTTATTTATTTTCGTTTTCTTTTGGAGAGTATATCCATGCGCTCCTGTGCGTCTGTCAGAAGTTCGAGTTGTATAGTGCTTTTTCTCTTGGTCACATGTAAGCATGTAAAACATGTGTAAAATAATATCTCATTGGTTTTAATAAAAACTTTGATAACATGCTTTATTATCTATTATCTTTGTGAGAGCAAATCACTGGACATCTTGCATGTTGTCATTATTAATGACCCTTCTTTTCTCATCCGTCCATCACCTAAGTTCTAACGGTGTCATATTAATGACCCTTCTTTTCTTGTCCGTCCATCACCGTAAAATAATTTGTATTGTCACCATGAGCTCCACTAAGTTCAGAAACTTCTGTCTATCCATATGGCTACTTTTAATGAGTATTGTTCACCATGAACTGTATTTTTGTCTAAACTAAAAAAGCTACTACATACGTGAATGCACTTTTGCAGGATCTGGTCAAAGATTCTATTGTAGGTGAAAGAAGCGCATTGCTCAATACTGTTTGGCTGTTTTTAAATACTCGAGCCCACTCCAACTTCATTGGAGACACTGGAATAACAGAATAATGGAAGGGATTCGGTATGAATCTCGTGATAAACATGAATACAAAACTGAAAAGATCTCGGCCAAAGGAGGAAGAGCTACCAAATGCTGTCTGATGTGCCTGCACGTGAGGTGATAAGATATTCCCTCTTTCTTATTTTGTAATACAAAAATGGTCAATGACAGTAATAAAACATAACTTCTTTTTTTTGCTGATCATTGAAATTTTGATGTCAAGTCCCTACAAATTTCTACTGTTTCATACTTGAGAGGTTCTTAGATTAATGTGTGGATGCTGTGTTACTACCAGTTGTAGGTATAATTTTAATATATATATATATAATATATATTACATTGGTTTTTAAAGTTTTTGGACGCCATAAGTCATATTGCTGCACCTGGTAATAAGAGGATGGCCATTTCCTTCTTTTCTCCTGCTGCATTTTAAAAAACTTATTAGTACCACAAAATGAACAGGGAGTTACCATGATGATCGTTGGGAAGTAGCAAGCAAATAATTGAATTATTCTCTTTTTTTATCAAATTCCAGGACTATCAGGGTTAAAATTAAATAAAAAAATTGCCCGTCCTTGTCTTCCAATTCTGTAATGAATTTTAAAGGATCTTATACCTTTTGTGCTTTACTTCATAGTCTCATGCTGGCTAGATTAGTTTGTAACTGGGATTATCAAGGCCTTTATTGTTTTGTCATTTCTAAATATCTGGTCTTTTGCTCTTTGCTCGCGTGCAGGATCTTGGTAACTGAAGTCCAAATTGCCCTGTACAAAAAGTCTTGAGGAATTCAATTGGTTAATGTTGGAAGACGAGAATGATTTGGAGAATCTTTATAGGAAACAGCAGTTTGAAGTGCTGCAGTAAGGCATTGAGGATACCTCATAAGGCATTCTGAAGCTCGTTTGATGGTATCCAAGAAGTTATCTAACTCTATTTAGGACAGGTAAACTTAAGAAGATCCTATCATCCTTGACGATGTTCCTTGATGATACATTCATGTATCGTAGAATCTGCATTAGAATATCCCTTAAAAATTAATAATGTACTATTTATTTTATTGCACTCAACCTGACATTGCCCTGCAAGCACAGGCTGTACTAATAACCAAATGGTTTTCACTTTGAAAAAAAAAAAAATGAGCTTCTTTTCTTGGAGGTGATTGTTTCATTTTGCTTAGGTTGGGGGGGTGGGGAAGGGGCCTGCCATTGTGGTTTTACTAAAAGCGTTGAATGGCAGAATGAAGCATATTGGGAAACTCAAGCTGGTAACTCTCCACTAACCATTTTGAAATACTGATATGGATAGAATGAGCAGCGATAAACTCGTTCGAACCCTAATTTCGAATCTAGGCTATAAGTTGGTTATATGCAATATGCATTTTGAAACTATATCATTTCAGTGCTACTAAAATCATCAGACATTTACATTACCACCAAAATAATTTCAAGTATGTATCTCTTGTTTTTCTTCTCTCCTACAGTTCTCAATATCCTTAGGCAATTTTTTTGATTAAGGGGTTTCTGAATCTCTCTTGATTGGCTGGGATTAAAACCGTAATTTTTGTCAAAAACAAGTTTTGAATTTTGTTTTTGCTTTTTTTTAAAGGAATTGGATTATTTAGTAATATTTCAAATCTTAATAAAAAAAAAATGGGATTAAAAAATTGTTATATATGTAGTTTATATAATTTATTTAAATGTGTTAATTTAGGTTTAAAGATGTTTATGCAGATGATATAAATAGGTACAATAATTCAGTTTCTGGGTTTTATCAACAATAAAATTGTAGTAAGCCACGTATCTTTTTATATATGATGAATGTGGATAGATTATACATATAACAGAGGGGAATGGAACCCGTACCTATGTTATGAAATTGTATTCAATTTTTGATTTTTTCCAAAAAAAAAAAAAAGAAAAAAAAAGTTGAATAGAAGACAGTGGATTTAATTTTTTATTATTTCATATTAAGAAATATGGCTATAATATATAAAATAAAAGCATTATGGTTAGAGTTCATTTATGAAAAATTATAAAATTTAAACTTTAATACATGATTGATTTTATTTTCACTTATTTCTTTAAAAAAAAAAAAAAAAAAAAAAAAAAAAAGAAAGAAAGAAGTCTTCCCTGATTTTAAAATTAAAATATTGAATATTTTTATCTTAGTTAGCAAGCTGACAACTATTAATATAAGTTTAATTTTACTCAAAAAAAAAAATTAGGAGAGTTAAGACTGTTTATTTCTGTAAAAATAATTTGTAGTAAAATGTTTTTATAATTTTCTCATTGTTTGAGGTGTTTAGAAAAATAAGTTAATTAGAAAAAATTTTCTGATCAAAAGGAAAATTAAGTCATTTTTAGTAAAACATTTTTTTGGATACTGATAAAATTTTATAAATTCATATTTTGCAGTTTTCTAATTTACATTTTTGTTGCATTCTTTTTCATATTTAACAATAAAATTTTAAAATTATAAAATTTTTTAATATTATTAATATTTTTATACTCTTATTGAGATAAAAGTTCTTTAATATTTTTTAATTTAATTTCAATATTACAATCAATAACGAAAAATAAGTCATTTAAAAAATATTTTTGAAGAAAAAATATTTTTTATGAAAATTATTTTTTAATAAATTTATTTTTTTTATAAATATACGAAAACAAACGGAGTTATTAATTAACAATTCAATAAAAAATAGAAAAATAAAAAAAAATCTGGACTACTTTTGTTGAAATTTATAAGTGCAATATTTCTGTTTTAAATCTAAAAATTTAAAAAAAAAAAAAGAATTTAAAAAAGTTGTACGCAGTTGCCCATAGATAGGACATGCGATGGGACGTGGAGCTAATCCTTGGACAGTCCCAAAACGAATAAGTAATAAGTGGCTTACACCTAATCATTAATCATTATGTCCCGTTTCGGGCTAAGCCGACACTACTTATATGTCCAATGATTATTATACCACGTTAATAAGTAAAATATAGCAATTATGTGATCAATTAATAACAGTAGGTCGTATTTATTAAAATCTAAATTTATTATAAAATTAGATATTCGGATGCGAGGGTAACATTTGGGACTTATTCATAAACCAGGCCTTCTATCTACTCCCAGTACAAGTCATTAATGATATTAATTAATAGCACGTGCTACTTTGCGGGTTGGATTAAAACATCTCGGAGGACCCTGAACTTTTTATTAATTTATTTTTTAACCCTTTTTTTTAAAAAATCTTTTGTCTATTAAGCCCTAACTATCGTTTCTCTGAATTCCACATTTAATGTCTTTTATTCCGTCACAAATAACTCTGTCTTATCTCTCTTATTTGCTTGCCATCTTAAAAACTCAGGCCTCACTGAATCAAAGTATTGAATAATTCTTTGTTGCTTTGTTTCTCCTCTTGCCAATTTTTAGGTTTTTGTTTTGGATGTACTAAAGAAGAATTGACATCGTTTGAGAAGATGATTGGAGCTTCAGCCCCTTTTTTTTTTTATTATTATTATTATTAATCACGCTCTGTTAAGTTTTTAGAATTAAGGAAGGCCTATGGGACTCAATGAAAAAAGTTTTGAAAAATGGCTAAATTAGAAAATTTTAACAAAATTTCAGGAGCCTTAGGGCTGTTGTAGTCCCGGTTAACAAGCATAAATAAATATTTATTCTTATTCTACGGTCAAATGCTCATTTTAAAATTTACATATATTTTTAGAAAATTAATATATTTTCTAATAATTTTTTTAATTCTTGTAATGACATTGCTATCAAAGTGGAACGAATCAATAATATCTAACATAAAAAAATAAATGGAAAGGATTAAATTAATTTCAACAACTTTATTGAAATTTTTGAACAAATCTGTAATTTTGCTAAAAACAGGAGAAACAATGGGCATTCAATTATTCAGCGACCAAATCAGATTTTAGACAGTTTAATTCAGTTTTGGTACTAAGGAAAAAAATAGCTTGGTTTAGAAAATTTTTGAAAATGTTTACAATTCAATTTCATTTTTTTTATTTGAATAATCCAAACTAAACCCATATACAAAAAAGTTATTTTTAGTTATATTATTAAGCCACTCTCTTTAAGTCAAATTAATTTTAATTGGGCCAATGCTCTCTCAATTCGATATTTTCCTCCACCATTTTCCCAAACAAAAGAAATTCTTTTTTCCTTTTCGAAATTTTCCTTCTTTCCGTCCATTAAAAATCCTCCTTTTTCCAAACAAAGAATTAATTTTGATTAAAAATAATTGAAGATATTGACGGAAAAACCCAAAACAATCAATTTTATAATTAATATGGATTAAAAAATAATTGAGATATTGACCAAAACCAAACAATCAATTTTATAATTAAACGTTGAAGAAGAACACTGCATACTTAGGTGTTTACTTTTGATTCCTCTATTTCTATTTTGGTAGTCGGCTGCCCATTTTAGATAGAGAGAGAAGAAACGAGAGCATGAAGCTTGCAGGAGAAAACTTATATATATTATATATTATATGTAGAAGCTAGAAAGTGAAGATCGATATTTCATACAGAGCCATGTTTACTGGTATGGGAGAATCTAACAGTAGAGCTACTAAAAAGGCAATAAGGGGAAATGATGCATCAAAGAAGCAAGTTTTTGCTCCACTAAGCTTACTGGTTTGCTAAACCAGGTCGAATCATGGCCGTCAGTGGGTCCTTCCGTCTCCGGAAAATCAACCTACTTTGATTCCTTGGCTGGATGTATATGTTTGTAGATATACTTCTCTCTCATTTCTTCTCTTTTCTTTTCTTTCTTTTTTTTTTTTTTTTTCCCCTCTCTCTGATCTTCTATATGTATTCATTTATATTCAAATTTTTGAAAAAAAACACGTAAAAAATTAATTAAACCACGTTCAAGGATTTTATTTTTCAGGATTCTCACTAATAGATTTGATATTTAGACAATTAAGCAAAATTTTTTACATGGTGTTTTTCTTTTTAAAAAATAATTTTTTTACATTATATTTAAAGGAAATTTTTTTTAAAAAAAGTGTTTTCCTATCGCAGAATAGGCATTTGGCCACCGCGTTTTGATTTTAACTGGAAACCGAACCGTACTGTAGACGAATTGAAAACAGGGACGAAATCGGCGGTTTCAAAATTTAAAAGCGGAACTGGTGGTTCAAAATTTTATAAACATTGAACCGGAGGTTCAAAGGCTTGTTAAGGTTCATGTGAATGTTAAAATATGAATCAGAAACGGCCCCGAACCGGCTGTTCTTGGTTCGGTTTCGAACCGAAAATTTCTAATTTTTATTTTCAAAATGATAATCCACATTAGCCTATTTTATACCATCTCTTAAAAGTCTCAATAATATTATCCTACATTATATACTTTACTTGAGACTTTTTTTTTAAATACACTTACTTTTAAAAGTTTAAAAATCTAAAAAGTAAAAATGGTAAAAAAAGAGAGAAATTATTTATTCTAAACTTTATATTATTTTTACTTTTTTTATCCTTTTTAAATTATTTGCCTAAGTTTAAAATTACATTTCTTTTCAAGCATTTTCAAATTTTTCTTATAATTTATTTTACATTTAATAACATTTTAAACAAAATAAAGTGATATTTATATTGATTATTTTGTAAAAATTAATTATTTTATTCCTATATGATTATAAAGCATTCTTAAAATTTATTTTAAAAATAAAATTTACCAATATTTTTTAAACTCATATTAATATGTACAAAAGAAAGGATGTAACATTAAAACCGATTTTTAAAAAAAAATATATATTGTTGGGAAAACCGGTTAATGGAAACCGGACTCGGAAAACGGCAGTTTAAGGGCAAATTCAGGTTTCAACATTTTTTAAAAAATTTGAACCCTCAGTTCCGTGAACCAGAACCGGCGGTACAATAAACCGGCCATGTCTATCACAGAATAAGAAGCACAAACAAAATTTATTATTTCATTAATTAAAATCATTTGGTGAAATCTTTTTTTTTTTTTTTTTTTTTTTGTGAGAAAAAATTTCATTTCTGATCTTAAGTTAGTTAATATATCATAATATTCGATATTTTTGAATTATATATTCCATTTGACAAATTTTTCTTGTTATCGCAATGTTTTTGCCAATTTACATGTGAGTCAGGGGTTCCCACTCCCACGTTGGCTACAAAAGAACTTCATTGCAGCCCTCATTCATTCTTGCAGGCAGCCACGTGTCTCTCCTCACGTTTCCAAAAATTGATTTTTTGTCATTTCAACATCTGTAAAAGTAGTATTACTTATGAGAGAAAGCTATTTGATATTTTTGATATTCTAACATGGAATTATTATATTTGAAATAAAAATTTGAGGTTAGAAAAATAAGCAAAGGGGAAAAAAAAAAAATTCTATTACTGTATTTTTTAAATTTAAATATGTTTTTGTATATGTTTTAAAGATTTTGTTCTTTTAACTGATATATAGTTGATTTTAAATTTTCAAGATTAAATTATATTTAAGTAAATTTTATTTCAAGATTATGTGGAATTTATTTACTGTTATCTCCTCCTGCTTCAAGTTATAGAGAATAATGTACAAATTTCAATATTTTTTATTTCGAAAAATTTTAATATTTTTTAGGAAATTTACCCCCAAGCGGAATAGGTTTTTCCAATATATCTTATGACCAAACTCGAAAATGTTAAAAACAAAAAAACCTAATATAACCTAATCAGGAAACCTCTCATTCTCTTTGAGATAAGAAGAAAGAGATGCAAATATTCATATATATATATATATATAAACCATACATATATATATATAACCAATATATATAAAATAAAATGCCAACAGGTACATTATTTTTGAAAAAAAAAAAAAAGTATTTCTAATAAAAATATTATAAGTTATTTAGTGAAAAATTCATTCGTTAATATATTATTTTGATTATACATTTTAGTCAACAAATTTATTTTCATCCATTTTTCATATTAATTATTCTCAACATATGAAAATCTTTCAAGTTAAATTTTTCTATTTTCTTTTCGGTTGAAGTTAAATTTTTATATTAAGGAATATTTTATCTTTAAACATAATAAACCAGTTTAAAAATGCTTTAGAAAAGAAAATGCAGAAAGAAAGAAACGTAATCAAATGAATTATACTTTGCTTCTCTTCTTTTATTTTGCTAAGATCTTTTACTGTTTACACCTAAACTTTTTTTTTCCCCTCTTAATTTGTATTCTTTGCAGGGAGACTTTTTCATCAAATGTTTAAAATGACAGGAAAAGTTTCTAATCAATGAAATCAGAGAAGCATAGATTGCCAGAGATGTTGTTAAGTTTTATAATTAAGGAAAAGAAGAAAAAAGGAATTTTAAATATTTAATTAAAAAATTATTACAGCTTACTTGGGTGTTATTAATTAAAATTTTAAATGATTAATTCTTGCAGTCATATGCACTCAGGAAGATTTTTTCTTGGTAACTCTCACTTGTAAGAGAAACCATAGCATACTCAGCTCACGTGAAGCTTTTTCAAAAATGAACAAAGAAGAGATGGATAATGTTTGTTGAGAAAACACAATAATAGAAATGGGTCTTGAAGATTGTGCAAATACAAAAATTTGGAAATTGGGCATATGAGAGGGTATAAGCACAGGTGAAAAGAAAAGATAAGTATTAGCATTGAAATTTTTAACACAACACATATCTTGTTCTGGATGAGCCTACTAGTGGGTTAGATGGTGCTTCTGCTTTCTTTGTTGTTCAAGCTCTAACCAAACATTGCTAATGACGCGAAAATAGTTTAATTTGCTCTATTCACCACCTTAGTAATTGATATCTTTGACATGTTTTGATGAATTTGCTCCTCCTTTCAAGTGGGAGAAATGTTTATTTTGGAGAAGCAAAAATGGCTTTGGAAAGTTTTTTGCAGATGCTTGGGTTCCCTTGTCCTTCAAAAAGAAGCCCTTCTGATCACTTTTCTTCGGTTGTATTAGTTTTTGGATTTGACCTCGAAACTTGAAACTCTACTGCGGGCTCAACAGCTCTTGTGGTAATTTGATCTTATAAATGTTTTGCATTGAGTTATTTTAATTTGTTTTTGTTTTGTGCAATTGATTTCTTGCAGTCGCATTGCAGGGAAACAAAGAGTCATCCAAATTGTCCGGTAGCCACAATGGAAAACAACAAGCGATTAGGGGCAACACTTATTTGAAAAGTTATATAGTCTTCTTGGAGTTTTCAATCCATTTGCAAGAAAGAAGATTCAAGAAATTGAGCAATTGTATGAGCTTAACATTTTGCAATTTCCATATCCATTCTTTGTGCATGTGTTGTCATTAAACATTATATATTGTAAGATCTTGTCCATGCGAGTTGAATGTGGATTTAATACGCATTACAAATATATTAAGGATGCGGAAAGTGAAGTCTCAATACACGAATCTTTCACATTTTCACGTATTATCCATTGGTTACCATTATAATCGAAGAAAATATTCATCAAATTTTGGTAAAAGTTATTAAAAGCGGAGTGCTACCCTATTATGAGTGTATTTAATACACCACCGACTCGACCTCTGTTTTAGTAAAAGATTTATTTTGAATATTCTTTTGCAAAAATTTTTTTTTTTTTTTAAATTAAATTTTATATCTTTTGACTCTTTTTGTAAAAATTATTGCAGGAAGCGGCTTATTGTAGAATCAAAGAAAGGAAACAATTGCTGAGGTGCCGAAGCAAAACCTTTGCATTTTTGGACTCATAGATCTTTCGGTCAACATGTATAGAGACATCGGTTACTATTGGTTAAGATAGCATTATACGTTTTAGTAGCAATAAAGCATTGGAACCCTCTACTTCAATTTTGGAAAAGACAATGGAGCAATCGTGGCTAGAGCAAAGGTTGTGTGTGTTTTCGCTATGGCTTCATGATTTGGTTTGGTCTAAACGGAGGCTTACCATTTTTATTGAAGAAACTGAAGTTAGAGAATTGCTTACATTCTACCAATTAGCCTAAAAAAATTGCATTCTTATTGATTTTTGTTGATTGTGATTATGAATCAGGTTTTCGTACGAGAAAGATTAAGTGGGCATTATGGAGAGGGCTTTGTTCATATTATCCAACTTCTTCTCATCATTTTCCTTATTGATTGTTATATCTCTGCTTTCTGGGACAAATAAATCTTATTTCATTGGTTGAACTTTCATCCTGGATTTTCTTCACTAATTTCTTTTTCTGTTGCAATCTCTTTTTGCCTGCATTTCTGTTATAGAAAAGCTGCATGATTGATTGTTGCGTCAATAACGTCAAACGTTTTGTTGGGCATAGGAGTTGGAACTGGAGTAATTTAAGTCAAAAACTCTCACCATTTTGTATTTTTTTGGTTTCTACTTTCATAATTTATTCAAGTTTGCAAGAACTTTTTCAAATGGCAGGGTGTTATATTTTGATGATGGCATCTGAATCTCCAGGCCATTACCTGACCTTCCCAAGATCTTCTGGGCGCTATCCAATGTCTTACATTCAGTTTTGCAACGTGGGCGATTCAGGTATGCCATTTTCTCATTATTAGGCTGTACCAATAGTTTTCAAAGTGATGCCTGTAAACAACGGTTGAACATTTGGTTCTGACCAATTCAATTCAGTGAATGAATGTTCGGTTTAAAGAAAAATTAAATTTTTGGTAATCGGAAAATTTTTTGGTAATCGTAAATAGTTAAGCAGACCGAATTAATCAAATTAACCAAACCCTCAAAACTACGTCATTTTTTATTAAATAGAAAAAAATTTTAAAAATAAAAAATATTTCAGTTTTTTATTTTGATTAAGCAATTGATTTCCTATTCGGTTAAAGTTTTTAATCACAACTTTCAATTTAAATTCGGATTCGGTTAATTAGATTTTCATTTTTCTTTAATTCGGATGTTGGTTACGAATGGAATGTGGTGTGGTTAATAATAAAAATTAATTCTTTCCCAAACACAATTTGATTAAGTTCGGTTTTAAAAAAATATAGTTCAATTAAATCTTTTAAGTAAAAAAAAAAATTTCAATTAATTTACTTCGGTAAAAATATTATATTTAAATTTGGCTGAATTGACCGAATACTCACCTCTTATCTGTAAAATCTACTTAGTATTATTTGGAGATTGTGCAATAATCAGAATTATAGAAAATTTATAGAATTATATTAATAAATGGTATGTAGAAGAATGTAGATAGAGACAAGTTTGTAAAAACATGAACAAGATTTAGAACACGAATTTTTAAAAATTAACATATAAATGCAGTAGAATTTCAATTCCTAATAAATTTTTACGACTATTTACCCCAAGAAGTGAGAGATGGTATTGCAAAATATCCCTTTCCCTTAACCAGGGGTCTCGAGTATCGAACTCTGAATATATAGTCTCTTTCAACACTCGGGGAAAAGGAGCGGTTGCCTCCTCTTGAGGTGCCTTCCTGATGCAATCCGAATTAGGTTAAGCGAATAAATTTCTAACACACGGATTAAACCAAAATAAAAAATTTACCACATTAATGTGTGTACTAATACTATTAACATTGCTAGTTTTGATGAATGCATTGTAATATTTCATAAGGGGCAATTCAAGAATTGAGATGATTGGGCTGAGTTGATCCACTTATTTTGCAGGAAATCCAAAGCTAACAGGAGAAAAAGCCCCTTCAAACAATTTTTGCGAGTTCCTATTGGTCACTCCAAAATGGTTGGGATTTATCTGCCCTAATTTGCTTATTATTAGTTCACAGGGGAATACTCTTTTACATCATACTCAAATACAAAAAGCGAGAGCAATAATAGCAATTATCTCCAAGGGTGCTGCATACAAGGAGAACTCCTAAAGGCCTTTCAAATGAAGAGTTTTCATTGGCAGCAAAGTTTATAAGCCTCTCCATCCTCAAGGAAAGGGCACTTCTACAATATCCCCAAATTTAGAATATAAAAAAATCAAAGATGCTATGAAATTTACTTTCTTTTCTTCTTTGCCCAAAAGGTTCATTTTTGTAATAATTGTTGGAACCAAATCGGTAAAAATGAGCAAGTGCTACCAAAAATTAATTATAGCATGAAACAAGGATATTTTGCCTAAATCTATTTTTACTTATTTCTTTGATATTTCACTCTGTCTCAAAATATAAGGTTCTTTTAAAGTTTGATTTTTTTTATGTCAAATTATAAGATGATTTGGATATTTTATAAGTAATAAATTGTTTTTTTTTTCAATTTTCACCCCTTATTTATATAATTAAATACAAGTATTATTATCTTTATAAAGTTACTCTTAATTTGAAATAAAAAGGCCAAATTATCTTGATTTTATCATAATTTAGGAGACATTAATTACTTTCTTAATTCATGTGCCAAAGAATCTTAAATATATTTTGGAATGGAGGGGAGTCTATATATGAATTTTATTCAATTATTTACTAAAATAATTCTTTATTATTTCTCCAGAAAAAAAAATATTGACAATAAGATATCACTTAATAATTAACCAAAAAGAAGATGTCTTTCATTTGGTTCCTTCAAATTCCAAAATTAGTATATACTTCCTCCTATTTCAAAATATTAAGCCATTTAAAGTTTTTACATGGGATTAAGATAAAATTAATTTTTCTAAATTATAATATTACTAAAGGTATTTAATCAAATTACCCTTTATTTCAAAATCAAAAATTATTTCTTAAAGATAGTTATATATCTAATATAAATAAGAGTAATATTAAAAAAAATGTGATTTATTACTCTTTTAAAATACTTTAAAAACGATTTATATTTTTTTGAGAATAAAAAATTTTTTCTTGCATGGATTAATGGGAAGTTCCGCTTGTCTTTTAGTTAATTAAGAATTGTCAATGAACGGTTTATCATTCATTCATTACCTTATTTTTTCTCCGACAACCTCCAATTTCAACTAATATTCATTAAGTGGTGCATACCTTTCAAAATAATTTGTGTCGGTTCAGCCGGTCAATGCGCGTAACCGTGCTTCACCCTCACAGGCTCTTAAAATGGTTAATATTTGATAATATTATTCAAAAATTTAAATTTAAAATTTTTATATTTAAATTTTAGTACTTTAAAAATTATTTGATAACATTAATTTACTATTCAAACTTTCTTTTTTTAAATTTGAGCAACTTTTGTGGCATTAGATTTGACAAATGATTTCCAATTTTTTTTTTTTATATTAGTTTTTTTTTTTTTTACATATTGGTCAGGAGTTGTTAATCTTTTTAGGATTATAAACGTAAAAGATTTTTATTCTCCCAATAAAAATTATATTTTCGGGTTCAAAAATTATATATTTTTTTTTGCCTTTATGAAAAATTAAGGTTTGCTTTTTACTCCAACTAAACTTTATTGGTAAGTTGAAACTTTAATATTTTTTAATTTAAAATTTGAATTTGTGATGTTGGTAGAATTTAAATTTATATACAAACATAAAAGTGAAAAAATTATTACTACTTCTATTCCATAATACTTGTCACATTTTTGAAAAAAATAGTTATTATTTCAAAATACTTTGTCAAATTTGTAGTTTTCAAGGAAATAATAAAATATTTTTCATGTTTTACCTTATTTACATGATCAATAATTTTTACTTTAAATTTAATAATTTTCTTAGAGAATTTGATATTTAAATTGAGGGTAATATAGTCAATGATACTCAATAATTTATTGCAACTTAAAATAAATTTTAATCGGTTTTTCCAAAAAGACATGAGATTTCAAAAGCGATAAATATTTATTAGAATAGATGTAATATTATTTTAAATAGCAATATTTATGTGGCAGTTTTGAGAAATTATTTGATGCAATTATTTAGCCTTCTGTCATAATTTATTATTTTTGGGATTTTTTTTATTTTCTTTCTTGGTCATATTATTAACCTAGATAGCCGAATCTAGAGCTGATAGACATCCTTCAATTAAGGAGGCATACTAACTTCATATGCCATAACTGTCCATAATTCACGGTCTTTTTGTACGATGCAAATTCTTTTATTTTTTTTCAATTTTTTACAATAAATTGAAACATCCTCAATTTGCCAGCATTTCAATTTCAATTTCACTATAAATTATTTGAAGGATTTACTTAGTAAAATTTAATAAATGCAAATTGCCAATTTTCAAATCCCAGAAGATGTCGATTCCACGGACTCGACCCCCACCCCACTGCGATCATCAAAATAAGTATTATAAAGAAGCTAACTTGAATTTTTAAAAGGTTAATTTCTTTTTCTATAACTTTATGATTGTTATTATTTTGAACCTTTAAAAGGAAAATACACCTCCAATTTTGAGAAAAATTATTTTGAGATATCCATTTTCTGTAACTTATGGCATACGTTAGTTTCATTTATGGTTGCCCATATCCATAAAGCAAATAAGGGACCACAGGTATCTGTTTTGAAGTGCAAGTCTTCATTTTAATTCTCTCTGCTGTCACATTTTATAATCATCCATAAAGCTGATTGTTATCCTTCTATTAAGAGGCATACCTACTCAATGATTGTTTGGGAGGAAAATAGTTATTACCCTTGCAACTTCATTTAGTTCTCTTCTCTGTCATTATTTTATTAATCATCCATAAAAGCTGATAGTTATCTTTCTATTAAGAGGGCACCACTTGCTTCATTATGGTTGTTTGGGAGAAATTTATTACCCATTTCATAGATAGTACTATCAAAACGGGGACTTAGTCAACGGACGGTTCATTTTCGATATTTGTCCGTATCTAAATAAGAGAATTGAGGTTACGTTTTTAAAACGCTCTTTTACTCGGTCCATTTTTAGAGATAGTCGTAACGGCCTATGGGACAGCCACTTTAGAGGTCAAGAACCCGTTGTTATGGTAAAGTCACAACATGTTAGAATTTATAGCAGACAGAATTTTTTAAAAAAACAAAAACAGAACAAGATTAGAGGATTCTCACGGACCAAACCTATGAGAATTTCACAAATTGTCGATCTAATTTTCATATATTTTAAACATCTGAAACTAGTTTAAGGTAGACCTGACTTTTTATCTATCAAGTTATCCCAAATTTAGTTAATTGTTTCATTTGAGTTTTAAATTAATTTTAATTTGAATGTAAGATTTTCTTTTTTTAAAAAAAAAAAAAACAAAAACGGGACATTTGTCTGGGGACCCGTCCTCCAAGCCCGTTTTGCTTGCCCGAGCTTGAGCTTGATGGAAATAAGAAGCTCATTTTTAACGGGCTTTTTTAGCTCGGCTCAGGCTAGACTGCTCCGTTTTTTGACCAATATTATTCATATGTATATAACTCAATCAACATTTTAAGATATTACTCTCTTCCTAAGTTTAACAAACGAAATTTTCTATCTATTTTAAAATAAACTAGTATGTCAATTAGGTGTGATATAGTTGGTCGTTCTACCTCTCGTAAAAGATGTATAGAGTAAAGAGGTCTGAGTTTAAGTTCTCTTACTAAAAAAATTGGCCACCAATTTAGTGAATGTTATTTAAAAAAGAGGGGTTGTGTTAACCTACATATCCTTTTGATTGCATTGTACCTTCCTGTATAAAAAATGAAAAGGAAAGGAAACTATTATCATAATTAATTACCACATATTTCTCACAAGTTAATGTTTTGTTTCATTTTTTTTTTTTCCTTTGTTAGTAGTAACTCAAACTCACACCCCACAAAAAACCAAAGGTTGATAAAGATATGCTTTAAACCCATCCTTAAAGTTATATAAGTCATATAATTAATTAAAATTACATATACTTATTAAGAGTATTCAATTAGCTGAAATTATACGATAGTTTATACAACAAAAATGGTTAATTTTTTCGTTACCTTTATTTAATTGCCGTGAAAATTATTATAATTTAAAGAACTCAAGTTCGAGACCTTCATTTTCTCGCATTAATAAAAAAGATTAACCCAGATTATATCTAATTAGTAGAAATAAATTTTTAATAGCATTGAATTAATTAAATTTTGATGTATATGCTTTGGTTTTGTTTCCGTAAAATTAACTTGCAAGAAAATAACTTGCTGAAAAATATTTTTCAAATGACTTATTTTCTTGAACGCCCCCAAACAGTATAAAATTTGTGAGAATTATTTTTTTATAAATTATTTTTACAGAAACAAACGGAACCTTTAATTACATTGTGCATATTAGAATCTATAAAAATTCTAACAGGCTAGATCTTGATTTATAAAACTTGTAAAATTGTTTGAATAATTAATGAAGAGTTACTTTTTCATGTTCACTTGGTCCGTCTCCAGTGAATTCAACACAGCTACCTCTGATTTGGAATTGTCAGGGCCACAACACATTAATTTACATCAGGACAAAACTTGTAAACTTGTCAGGCCCATTCGCGTTGAACATTTACCGGTGATTACCGTTTTCTTTTTTTATTTATTTCTTTTTATAAATAATCTTCAGATTTTATTTTTAGATATCAGTATTGTCGTCCAAATATTGAGATTTATTATTTCCCATATTTTTAAAATTATTGGTCTTAAAATTGTTCTGAGTTATTGTTATCACCATTATGGTGATTTTATCTTTAGCGTTTTTTATTATTTTTAAATAGTTTATACAGAAAGAAGTGCAGGATCTCTTCTTTCAATAGAAATAAACGAAATTTGAAGGTAATCAGATTTAAACTTTGTAAAAAACAGACTATCGGAGTCGAACAATGGGCCAATTGGATATCCACCAAGCCTTAGAGCAAGCGATTGTCTGTGACACAAATATTTATACTTTAGTCAACTCGATCAGATACTTCAAATCAAGATTATGTGTTTTGTTATTCTTTTATAAGTGGTTTATTATTAAATTTTCTATACAAAAATATAGAAATATATTGATCTGTATTTCATATAAAGTGGCATACTAACTTTATTGTAGGTACACCTTACTTTTTTCTTTTTTCTTTTTCAAAATTTCTTTTTTTTTTTTAACTTTTAGAAAAATTTTTTGAATTATGTATTTATGAAATAATGATACTAATTTCACATAAAACATAGATGAATAAAAAAGTCTTAATATGAATATTAAAATTCTTGAAAATATTTAACCATAATAAATATTTTTTTAATTAAAAATTTTTATAAATGATCTTAATTAATTATCATTTATTTAAAATATTTATAGATTTTGAATTATTACAAATTGAACTATATATTGATTTAAATTACTTTCAAAAGATTATATTGGTGTTTTCACACATTATGTGATTATAATATTAAGTAAGGATATAATTAAAAATTTTCTATCATTTTTTAAGTTAATATTCAGTTTGCATTAACTAAATACATTTTTTGAGATTATAAATGTATTTTGATATACAAAATAAACTTTTTGATTCTTTTGAAATACCACATATAAATTTCAACTTAAATGACTTAGAATTACAGATATTATAAAAGTAATTTTGATAATAATAATGCTATGAGTCATTATTTTAATTAAGCTTATTATACTTATGTACACAAATCATTATGGGCATACAAAAAATTTTTTAAAATTTTTAAAAATAGTTATTTAATATGATTAGGTCTTTTTTCAGGAAAATTTATGTTCTTATATTTATTTTAGAGGAAAAAAAAATATTCACTAGTATATTATTTATGTTAATTGTTTATTAAAATGATACTTTATATTCATTGTTGTTAAATAGTTTTGTGAATTGGTATCTTTTGAAATTAACAAAACAGGATTTAAAAATAATTAATAAATAAAATATATGAAATAAAATTAAATAAATTCATAAACAATAAATTGACCAGTCTTATTTTTCAAAAAAATAAATGACCGGTTTAGTTAAAATATTTTTTAAATAATTATTTTTCATAATTAATAATAAAAATTTTGTTATAAAATAAAAATAAAAGCTTTATTTTTTATTATTATACTTGTAGGTAGCAGGTTCATGCAGTCAACTTTAAAAACTAATGATTTCATAATAAATATTTTAAATCTAAGGTAGATAGATATTCTGGGATCGAATACAAAAAATTTTAACTTTTGTGCTGTAGTCTTATCCAAATTTTTTTTCTTCTTTTCATTTCCTTTTTCTTTTTGGATATTTCCTTTTTTTCTTTTATTTTATTTTTTTTTTCCAGTTTTCAATGCTTTTTCAAATAATTTTCCGCATTTAATGCTTTTCAATTTTATTTATGTAAATGCATTTTTTTTTTATTTTACATTTACTTCTATATCCCAAGTTATAATTCATACACATGTTATTTGTCCCTTTTTTTTTTTTTGAAATTCATGACCATGTTATTTGGCAAACAATTAATATTATGAAAAGTGGGCACCCTTTTGTTTTGGCAGGATGATGCATGCTCAAACATATAATATATATAAAGCTCTCCTTCTTCAACTTGTATTCACAATCTTCCATAACCAAAAACCCATTAAAGCCTAAGCAGAAGAAGAAGTAAAGCAAAATAATGGAGAGAGGAAGGCAAGAGAAGAAGAAGAAGTGGACGGTAGAGAAGCTATCATTGCATTTTGGTGTGCGGAAATTTGTGAGTGTTATGTTTGGCTAAGGAATATAGTGTTGCAAAGCAAAAAAAATTGAAATAAATACATAGGAAAGCTATTGAATAGGGTAAGTGGGTATGCTTTTGCCTCATTAGGGATTCTGGCCATTTATGGGGTCCTTCTGGCTCTGGTAAAATCAACCTTGCTTGATGCTTTGGCTGGTATTCTCTCTTCTCTCTCTCTCTCACACACACACAAATATAGGCTTTTTTTTTTGTTTTTTTGGCTTTTTTTTTTTTTTTTGGTTTAATTCTTATCTAATTAAGACTATGTGTATTTTTATAAAATTATTAGATACAATTTTGCAAAAAATATATATTATAAAAATATTAATTTATTTTGAATTTTGTATTTTATTGATTTTTTTAACAGAAAATGCGAATATATGTCTGTTCCCAATTGCTTGATGTCTTATTATTTCTCTTATTATATTTTATTGACTTATGTTAAAGGAAAAAAAATATAAACTAGTAAATGATTAATTATTGAATATTAAAGTTAATTATTCAAAAAAGGACCTTAAAAATTATACCAGCATGTATTGGTATGAATGGAAATTCAAATCTTTTAAATAAGAGGTGAAGTATAAATTCAATTTATATAATAACAAATTTCTTAAAATTAAAATTATATTAAATATATGTTAATATGTTAGACTTTTTTTCATTAATATATTAATATTAAAAATTATAAATTCAATTCATTTCATAAAATACAATTTAGACTTTTTTTTTTTTTGTTTTGAGTATTGGGAAAAGAGGATTCGAACGTAATCTATTGTTAGGTCATAATGCACTTACTCCTAGGATATGTTTTGATCTAAAATTAAATTTAGACTGTCTTAAATTTTAGATAAAGCAAAATTTCTTTTCCGAAATATAATTACAAGATAAATATTTTACAAAATTATTTTGTATACAAAAATTCTATATATCATATTCCATTCATCCGACGAACAATATGTTGGCCATAATAATAGCAAAACCCTTTAGTTGTATTGCAAAAGTTGATTAGGGCATAGCTCTTTTTGAAATGGTAGCTACGCATTAGCTAAGCTGAAAATAGGTAATAAATTTGTCACACTAAACATTAATGTGACAAGATTTATGTTTTTTTATTTCTTTATTTATTAAAAAATTTTTTAAGTACCAACAAATTGTTAGGCTTCAAATTTTTTTTATTTCATACATTTTAAAATAAATACTTTACCACTTAAATATGGGTGAGGATATAATTATTTTAACTGAAAAAGCGAATCAAATTAAATTTAATTGGATTTTTCGTTCTGATTATTCGGATTAATTAGTTTGATTCAATATATGATTTTGATTTCGAGCTTTTAGATTGCTTTGGAAAATATTTAATTTTTTTGTTTAGTGATAAAAACTGGTGCTTGAAATTCCAACCTTTCAATTCATAGATAAGGATTTCAGATCCTAAATAGTAATGTTGTGTCATTGTCACCATTGACCCAAGTTCCCATATATAAGGAAAAGAAAAATGAACAATTTAGTCGCATTCTTATTATTTATGAGTTGGTTGTAAGTTATGGGAGTTCAAATCAATGAATTGATTTAATGTAATTGGCAATTTCTGTTGAAAGAGTTGGGGAAGCTATAATAAAAATAATTACAATAATGTGAATTTCAAAGTCTTGCCTCTATTAAATTTTAATACAGTCAATATTGGAATGTACAAGTTTTGAAGGGTTTTTTTAGAAATAAAAAATTCTGTTACTAATAACAAAATTTAAGGTCTTAAAATCCACAAATGAAAATTAGAGTGCGCAATAGATAAAAAAATCTATAAATTTAGGGACTTCTTTATGCATTTTGCCATTAATTAAGAAAATATTTAAATTATATTATTTAAATTTTATCAAAAAAAAATCTACACTATTTATGGAATACGAATTTCTTTAAATTATATAATTTTTTTTATATATAGGAGGTTCAATGAATCGGGAAAACATGTAAGCTACGCAATAATATAGTCCTTCCTTTAAGTATCGTTCACCAAATTATAACCTTCTTCTCCTCATATCTTTTATGAAACGTGACAAACTAACCAGATCACACTTGAAAAAATAACTTATACTTCAAATAAAATGAAATATTAATAGCACATAGCATTGATGAGGAAGTCTCTCGACAAAAAAAAAAAAACCCATAACATAACAATGTAATTTAAATTACAATTATAAATAAAGATTTCTCTATTTTCGAATATTTCATAAATAGTTCAGAAAAAAAAAAACAATTATAATAAATATTACAATTATAGTTCAGAAATTTATTTCTGTTCAAAAAATTTTATAATTTCATACTTTTTCGTGAGATTTCTGCGCTGATGATTGGTTGGCTGAGTCTGCTTTATCTATAGATTTAGATATTCATATTCTTCTAATGGCCTTCAATGTTAATTATATTATGATATAGCTTATTCTAAAATGTAAAAAGAGTAGTTATTAATTCTTTGCATTTTCTCTTTTTCTTTTTAAAAGAAAATAAATAAACGATACACATTACAATAGATTTGGACTTTTTTCTCTTTTGTTGGCAGGGAGGCTATCACCCAATGTAATAATGTCTGGAAATGTTTTGTTGAATGGAAAGCAAAGAAGCATAGGCTGCAAAAGTATTGTAAGTATGATCATAAATCTTAATAGACGTAATAAATTACAATTTCAATTTCTTGCAATCTAGTTATCAAACTTTTTCTTGCAGTTGGGTCACCCAGTAGGGATGTAAATGAGACAGCCGGCTTATGAGCTGTTCGAGTTCGGCTCAAATTTGAGCTCGAGTCTAAAAATGTTCAGCGCGAAAGTTCATCGAGCCTTATCAAGCTTTTATATATACATATATATAATATTTATTTTAAATTTATTTAAGCATCGAGGATCAAACTTCAGATTTTTTAAAATTGAACTCGAGTCTAAAATTTTCAGGTTTGTCGAATTTCGAGCTGAGCTAAATTCTATCGAGTCAAGCTTTGAGTTTAACAAGTTTGAGCTCAGCTCAACTCATTTACACCTCTAGTCACCAGAATGTGATCATTAGTGCAAGATTACATATAAGTTTAAACCCTAATGTACTTATTTGAAATTGAAGCACTGTCTTGGATTTTGTTTCTTTTATTTTGCAGTCTTATGTCACTCAAGAAGATTTTTTCTTGGGAAGTCTAACAGTAAGAGAAACTGTAACTTACTCAGCTCATTTAAGGCTTCCTACAACAATGAGTAAAAATGAGATGAATGAAGTAGTAGAAAACACAATAATAAAGATGGGATTACAAGAATGTGCTGAAAATAAGATTGGAAATTGGCTTCTGAGAGGAATTAGCGGGGGCGAAAAAAGGCGATTAAGCATTAGTCTTGAAATATTAACACAGCCTCATGTCATGTTTCTTGATGAACCCACTTCAGGTCTTGACAGTGCTTCTGCTTTTTTTGTCATTCAAGTTCTGAGAAATATTGCTCTTGAAGGAAGATTAGTTGTTTGTTCTATTCACCAACCAAGTAGTTATATCTTTGACTTGTTTGACGACTTGTGTCTTCTCTCAAGTGGAGAAACTATCTATTTTGGAGAGGCAAAGACAGCCATTAAGGTTAGAATGTTTCATTCTATAGTAAGTAGAAATTGTTAGAAATTAATGAATCTTGATTTTGATATATTATTGTTGTAATACAGTTCTTTGCTGAAGCTGGATTTCCTTGTCCGACAAGAACAAACCCTTCCGATCATTTTCTCCGGTGTATCAATTCAGATTTTGACAAGATAGTTTCGATTCGATTACGATCAAAAAATGACCATGTATGTATATATAGAGTCTATTTTCCATTATTCTTTCAGCTGCTGTTGACCATTATTAAAAATATTTAATTAACATAAAACGAGAAGTGGCGAGTTTCGACTATTAAGATACCTCATATATATGTACTAAATATAACACAGTATATCATTATAACGCGGCAAATATAGTATTAATTCTTGACTATCCTCCCATTTAAAAATTATATTCGATAGAAAAAACAAATTATTTTGCATTTAAAATTGTTAATTTGTGTTTAATTATTGTTATGCAATACAGGAACCCTCCCAATCTTCAAATTCTCAAATCAATTTGAGCACACAGGACATCAAAGAAATGCTTACAGAAAAGTACATGAAGTCTGAATATTCAATAAATACAAGAAAAAGGATTCGAGAGATTACTCTTGTTAATGCAAGTCTTATTTGTTTATTTAATTTATTTGGAATTATACCATATATAGCCTTTAATTTCTTTGGCTTAATTAACACATTTTAAGATATATAATTATAGGAAGAGCTTGCAAGTGATTTAAAGATGACAAGAAGCAGTTGGTGGAAAAGGCTGTGGATATTGACAAAACGTTCCTTTGTGAACATGACAAGAGATGTCGCTTATTTCTGGATAAGGATACTATTTTGCATTCTCGTTTCACTTGGAGCTGGAATTATGTTCTTTGATATTGGATTATCAGCACCAGCAATCTTAGCAAGAGTTAAATGCTATGCTTTCTTTTATGGCTTATTGCTTTGCTTGTGCGTTGGAGGCTTACCCTCTGTTGCTGAAGAATGGAAGGTAAATCTTTTTTAAATATTCATTTCTGAAATGCATATTATAAAGGGTGGGGTCTTGGAATTATAAGTGTGGGCGCTGCACATAAAAGCAAAGTTTTGTTGAGGCCTAAGGGGATTATGGTTTCTGATATTCAATTTTGCCTCATATAGAGTTTATTTCTTATATATGTATACATTTCACGCTCAATTCTACTTATTTCTATCTAATTAAGTCCTTGATTACACACCTTAATAGATTAATTTTTTAGAGATAGAACGTCCCCGTGACAAAATGGTATTAGAGCTAGCCTGAATCCGGCTACAATATTCTACCAAGCGACCCAAGATTGGGATAGGCAGGGGGCTTCACTTGCAACGAAGATGTCACGAGATTAGGTGGGGAAGAATGTGAGGTAGCGCACCCTAATAGGCTAGCTAGTCTTTTGGGGACAGAGTAATGTCTCATGTCGATTGGCGGATCCACTTAATAAAAAGAGAGTTCAATTGAACTTCTTTTTTTTTTTTTTTCGCACCCTTATAGGCTAGCTAGTCTTTGGGGACAGAGTAAATGTTCTTCATGTCGATTGGCGGATCCACTTAATAAAAAGAGAGTTCAATTGAACTTCTTTTTTTTTTTTTTTAGAATTTTCTAATATATATATTTTTTTTTTTTTTTAGAATTTTCTAATATATATATATATATGTTGATTTGTCTAAATTATTCTATAACGTTCAATTTATTTATGTTTTTGATCCCTCTTTTTTCAAAAAATTATATATTAACCTTAGAAAAAAATATTTTTAGATTTGCAACTGACTCCCATTTTAATAGTGTTGATTACCAATTAAACCTTCAGGTAGTATACTACGAAAGATTCAATGGTCACTATGGAGAGGGTGAATTTGTGTTTGCAAACTTGGTTTCATCATTCCCTTTCTTGGCGATCATGGCTTTATCCAGTGGAACAATAATTCATTACATGATGAAATTTCATATGGGATTTTCCATCCTCTGGCATTTCTGTATCAATCTCTTTTGTTGCCTTTCTATTATGGAATGTGTCACAATGATTGTTGCTTTACTTCTGCCTAACTTCTTGATGGGCATGGGAGTTTCTTCTGCTATAATTGTAAGTTTAAAAAAAAAAAAAAAATGGAATTACTCTATTTCTTTTAACTATATATATAACAATGGATGGTTCTAATTAAGGAATATTATGTTTCTTGTTTTGATACAGATGTTGTTAATAATGGCATCTGGACTCTACAGGCCAATACCTAATCTTCCCAGCTTCTTCTGGCGATATCCAACGTCTTATATTAGTTTCACCTCATGGGCTGTGCAGGTAAATTAATCTAATTTACTTTTTTTATTTATTGGGAGGCCTTATTTGCCGAAATAATACCGCGGGATATACAATAGGAATAGATCTTCTTTTGGACTCACCAAATTAGTGAAAATATTTATGATCGAAAGGATTCGAACTTAAGATTTCTCACTCCTCACATAAGTGAGAAGACCAATCAGATCACATCTGATTGACAATTAATCTAATTTACTTAGGATATAAGATTATGTTTGATTGAATATAATAATGTTATAATAAACATGCATTTAGTTACAAAGAAGGTGTATTAATTTAGTGAATTTTGTGATTAGGGTCAATTAAAGAACGACATGATTGGACTCGAGTTCGAACCATTAGTGCCTGGAGATCCAAAGGTAAAGGGTGAGAAAGTTCTTAAGGCAGATTTAGGTGTCAATTTGAAGTATACGAAGTGGTGGGATTTGGCTGCTCTATTGCTCTTGTTGTTGTGTCATAGAGTTGTCTTCTTTCTAGTACTTAAATACAAGGAAAGAGCAGTACTGAAATTGCAAAGGCTCTGCATAAAAACACCTTCAAATTCTTTTAGAAGGGACAAACATGGCTCTTTTAGGAGGCAACAACCTTTGCATGCATTGTCTTCTCAAGAAGGTCTTGCATCACCATTGCCTAATTAATTAATATTTTTGTATGTTTTTTTTTTTTTTTTTTTTTTTTTGTTTTTTTTTTTTTTTTTTTTTTGTACATTTTTTTTTTTTTTTTTTTTTTGTACAAGATATTATAATTGTTACATATATATGTTTATCATTTAGTTATTATGTAAAGGAAAATGTGAGTGAGTACTACCATCTAAAATATTATACGTGCTTGGAGCACTTTACTCTTTAATGAGTTGACCGGATGCGATTAGAATTTAATTCTAGTCTGGTAGGCTAAGGATAGCTATAATTAAAATTAAAAAATATATATATATGTTTGTAGGCATGTAACACACAATTGTTCTATTCAATTTATGAATTCCTGTTGAGGTTTAATCTTTGCTTGTTTTATCAATTTATTCCCAACCCCTCACACTATGAAGAAATTACCAAAATTTGGTGATTTTATTCTAATTAAGCAAGAAAAAGGCACTACGACAAATATTGAATTTAGTAAAATTAATTTAACATCATTTGATTCCTAATTAATATATCTGTACATATTTAAAGGCCAATAAAGATAAGCAAGAGGTAAAATTATTATCTTAATTATAAAACAATTCTGCGTTTGATTTACATACAATTTGTTTTTTTTTTTTTTTTCTGATTTATACTATAATAATGCCAGCACCGTACACATGTATTGCATGTGTTTACATGGTAACTAATACTTGGAAAATATATTTCTTTTACCATCTGTCATTATTTATCCATGCCACGAGGTAAAAGATATTAATTAGAATGGTAAAAAAAATGTCAATTTCCGATATTAATCCCTTATTCATAACAAATGAATTATGCAAATTAAATCTTTCGAAAATCCAAATCTTTTGTTATTAAAGTTTTTTTTTTTTTTTTAATCATCCTTCATCCGAAATCTACCGGCTTAACTAATTCAGATTTGTACCAGTCAAGCGCATAAAGAGAGACAAAACACTTTCTTCCAAGTGTTTAAAAAATTTCCATACGCAAGATTTAAACTCGAGACGTTAAACCAAACAAGTAATTTCAAAAGTCGGATTCAAAATGTATCAGTCCATGTCTTGAGACGATAAGTGGCAAAAAATTACATAGGCGAGGCTCCGCCATTAATGTACAGTTGGAGGAAATACAAAGACTGGAGATTGAAATCCCTAATTTGCTTTGGGAGCTCTCAATGTAATGTATATAATGTACAATGTAGTGATACAACACAAGGTATCATTGTAAAAATTATAATGCATTATTTAAGTAAAAAAGCAAAAGGAACAAAATTGAATCACGAAATTGATGGCATTTTGAATTACCCTCATTTATTTGCTTCAATAAATTCTCTGTACTCTTTCTTCATTTTGACTCCTGATACGGTCCTGTCATGTAAAATTTTATATCAGGAAAGGAAAATGTAAGTGAAAGCTATATGAGCAGGAACAGGTTAATAAGGGATACAGAAGTAACAAAATCTAGCCAACCAGAGCATCTCCTTGTTCTTGAAGAACTGCACGCATGGTGTTCCCATAATTCCAGCCGCTTCTGCTATTTCTTGATCTTCCTCGATATCAATTTCAACAAAATGTACATTTTGATCAAATTCATCAATCACCTGCCATTTTTTCCATTCAACACCAAAGAAAAATATTAAGAGAAAAGGTCAGACATAACAAATTTTACTTAATCAAGAAACATGAATGAATTATATGTCATATGCATGAGAACCTCCACCAATTTCCTTCACACACTTTTGGTAACTTTGTTCAGATAATTCATTGCCCGCCTTTATCATGTTTTTTTTTGCATAAGAACAACTGCACTTCAACATTGTTTCCCATTACAACTCCAGTGGTATTTTACTAGGAAGTTATACATGAATGTATTTTAACTTCTAGCAAAACTTCAACATTTAAATTGCACTATTTAACAAAATATAGAGAATTGGCAGAACCCCATAAAATTATAAACTCGAGTCGAATCATGTTGAAAATATATGTAACAAGCCAACATATGCTGGGATTGAGATCTGAATCATTCCTGCCATATTGGGAAAAACATACCTTGCTAAGAATTGGCTTCAAAGTCCTGCAAGGTCCACATGTCGGTGACGTGTATAGCACACATATGAGCCTTGGACTTTCATGGTACAATTTTCGTAGAGCATACTGCAAAAGAAAAAGAAAATAAAATAAATAAACTAGCTAAGAGCGAATTAGGAATTCATCTCACTAGGAAAAAAAAAAGGAATCATGTATGAGGACTTGACTTCATTAGAATTTTATCACATTAATGGTCACATCTCACAATAACAATAACAAAATCTTAGTCCCAAACTAGTTCGGGTCGACTATATGAATCCTTTATTTCCAATATCCGCTCAATGATACTCAATAATAATCACAAGTCATGAAAATTGAAAAATCATATACTCTATAATACTCATCAAAGAAGAAGCAATGGCATCTTATTTCTTAGGTGTGAATACACACCTGGCCCCTGTGCTTTGTAAGTGTAATGTCAAAGCCCTCTTTGACGTCTCTGTCAGTGAGGTCCTTCTTGACCTCTTCAGTTGGAGGCTGTCATAAAGAACCATGAAGAACAAATGAATTTAGTTGGAAGCTATACATGAAATTTCAGAATACAAAATTATGAATGAGAAAATATCATATCAAGACAACTCATAAAGCTTTCCATTACACATATTTGATTTTCATGTATTTAGTCCAAAATCATAAATAAAAATTTAACCAAAGGCTTTTTAACGAGCAATTACTTTAACTAAATTCAGAAGTTCAAATATTTGCTTTATGAATATACCAGGGTCTAAAATACAGAATCAATAACAGTTTCAGAGTCGGACCAAATCAGCCACATTTTTTGTGAATACTTTTTCAAAAGTTAGCCAAATGATGTAAATCAACATCAAACTAAGAATTTAACCAAATATTACAATAACCTTGTATATCAAATTGTGCATAGTGAAAAAATAATTTATTCAAATAGCTTATGGAAAAAAAATATTTTATTACAAAATGAAACTTCTGCAAATTGATAAAAAAATAATTAACAAATGAACTTTGATGGCCTAAATATTTAAAGAAAATAAACTTTAAAATTATTTTGTTAAAAATTATTTTTTGTTAAAATAATATAATGGTTTATTTATTTATAAAACAAAATGATAGAATATTTTTTATTGATTTCAAAAATAACACACCAGTCCATTTTATAATCAAATCTTTAAAGCTAATAAAAAATAAAAGAAATTATGTTTGTCTTCTCCTATTCTTGTCGTTTCTCTTGCAGAATGTCTCTCAAACTTAAAATAAAAACATAAAGGCCAAAAAGTCAGTGGAGGTACGCCTCCAACTCTATCTCTTTCTATTTGGACCCACATCATGAGATTTGACAAAGTTATGTGTTGGCTGTCACCTACTACTAGTCCTTTACATTCCAAGGTGAAGTTGAGCTGATTCTTGGACTCTAGTTTGAGATCAAGACCAGCTCACTTGAGATCCTGTTTCTTGGTTTTTGAGATGCAATTCAATCCTAAATGCAATACCTACAGAACCTTCAGATGATGCTCATAATCTTCAAAAGATACTAGATGCAGTTACTTTATCCATTCAGCTACTATTATTCTCTCCAGAGCAACAAGATAGGCAACGTTCAGGGGTGACAAATTCTAGAGAGTGGAACTTTAATGAGGAATAACTACTTGCGAACAGCAAGATCATGTAATACAGGGAGCCTGGGTCTATATGAGAAATAAGCACAGTTGATAAAGTTAGACTTCAGTACAAAGAGATGCTTTCTTTCTTTATGCCCTTTTCCCTTTTCCTTTATGAATAAAAATATAATTACCTGATGGAACTCTACAAGTAGATTATTGCTGGCAAGGTATCTCTCAACTGATAAAGCAGCAACACATCCAGATCCAGCAGCAGTTACGGCTTGCCTCCATTCATGGTCCTATCCATGAATAAGTAACATAATCAGAGAATATAAAATAATTACAGGACTTTTTAAGAAAAATATAATTTCTAATCATAAGGTTATGCAAATCTTTACAACTGCACAGAAACCATTTTAGTTGACATATATAGATGATGTGTTTAATTTATAACTGTTTGAATTTCATAATGAAGAGAGAGAATTTACATTTCATGAATACCATTAAAAGTTTTTATAAGCACCTAGGCACCTAAAGAGGGACGTACACCAAGAACAATGAAAAGTGTAACCAAGATGGTTAATAGAACTCAATCAGTGTGCCCAACTTTCTTGATATAAGAAAATCAACATATAATCATGGGAATCCAATTCCATTGCATGTCATTCAAACTTGCACTGGTAGTTCATGAATCTCAAAATTGCATCACCAGACAATTTTCAAAGGAAAAGAACTGGTTTTGTTTCATAACATCCATAATTACATCAATGTTTATTCCCAATTGGTTAACAGTTTGAAAGTATTTACCCGTCACAGTTTGCACAAAGTTTGAAAGTAGAACTTCTTTAATTCCAATCTTACCATTTAACCTTTGGGCATGAAAATTATTACTCATTCCCAATCACAGTTTTTCCATTCCATATCACAAAACAATTGAAAGCACAGCCAGGCCAATCACCAGAAGCAACAATAACTTTTCACAGGATTACCTGCACATCCCCAGCTGCAAACACACCTTCAACAGAAGTTTCTGCAGAACCATCCTTAACTAATACATACCCTGCATTGTCAAGTTCAACTTGGCCTTCCAATAACTGGCTATTAGGTGAATGACCAATGCCATAGAACAAGCCTTTTGCCTCAAGAACAGATTCTTCCCCAGAGTCAACTTTTCTGATCAAAATGCCAGACATCTGCCCTTTAATATTGCTAACAACATCCACAGTCTCTGTATTGAAGTGCACGGTGACATTTGGATTGTTGAACACTCTGAAACATTCGCGATAATCAACCTGTTAAACAAACATTCAGGGAGTTGAAAACTCAACATACAAATTGTTCATTAGTATATAGTTCAGGGTATCAAGATAGCCAATCAGATAAAGGATAAAGAAAATGAAAACCACAAAAGCTAATAGTCAGCAGTTGCACAATCGATGTAATGCAATAGAACTGAAAAGTGTAAAAGACTGTTAAGGCAGAGGATGCCTGCAAGCGTTTAGAGAACAAATTTCAAAACATTTACTTTTAAAGAGAAATTTCATTTTCTATCAGATGAAAAAATTGTAGCAGGAAACTTTTCACAGTTCACACAATTACAATTTATAAGATCCAAAATGAACAGAACATAGTGGATGAGGATATGTAGTATTATGTTGATGGAATTAAATCCTGCGAAGTGTACTACATCTCATGTTCAGCATTGTATTAATAAATTAGAAGTGCTGAAGATAGTAACTAGGTTCTTGCCCAAGTACATTACAACCAATCGTAAAGGCAAATGTAAGAAAAAGATGCCCCCATAAGTTCAACAACCAAAAGAAAGGTTCCACGAAAACTCACCTATCTTGCATTGCCCTAGATGCCCTAAGTTGGTCCTTGCGAACAAGTAAATGAACATGACGGGCATATTTAGTTAAGTACAATGCTTCTTCTGTAGCTGTATCACCACCTCCAACAACGGCAAGAACCTGTCCCTTAAACAGTGGCGATGCTCCATCACAAATTGCACAGGCACTAATTCCCCTACTCCAAAATTCATCTTCACGGGGTAACTTGAGCCTTTTTGCAGTGGCTCCCGTGGCAAAAATAAGGCTGTGGCACTTAACCTGAGATGTTAACATAACAAAAAATTTCGAATCATAAGGACAGTCTAGCTTCTATTCTTCCTTTTTTTTTTTTTTGTCAATTAATAAGGATCCACAGCCTATTAGAACAACAAATGAGCAATGTATCAAGAAGATAATAAAGAAGCTTGCGTCCATAACAAAATAAAACTAAAATTAGTTACCATAGTTAAAAAAATAATATGAGGGGGGGCAAACAAATATACTTGAGTAGGGGCAAATGTAAATAATATTTTTTTTTTTAAAAAAAAAAAAGTCTACTAATATGTTCAAAAGGATTGCATGGAGGCAGTGGGAGCAAGTGCCCCATACTAGACCCATTCCTGGGCACAATGTTACATATGTAACTTGTTATAGGTCAAATACCCTTTTAAAAGATAAATGGTCAACTATCTTCTTATTCCAGGAATCAGTTGGCCTCTGACCCAATAGCAAGCTGAATCAATTTTAAATCCAGCAGCAGTCTTTTCCAAACTGATTCCAAAGAGTCAATGCAAAAGGAAAGATTTTGAATAAATAAAAGCATGCCATAGAATCATGTACCACCTTACGTTCACTACTTTTCACAGTGAAAGGACTGTTTTTAACGTCAACAAATTCCACATCTTCTTGGAAGAGTTCAGCTCCCCAGCGTTCAGCTTGTCGTCGCATTCTAGTCAAATACACAAAGTCAAGAATCTATCATATAATTTCACTTGAAATAACGGCTACTTTTATGCATTTACTGTTGAATTATGGCTCATATTTGTTAGAGAAGAAATTACTATTCACTATGACCCATTCACAGGGAAGGGCTTCGTGACCCAAGCCACTAAACCCTCAAACATGATTGGGGGCATTTTTACAATTGCCATCTCTGGTAGGTTCTGAACCTGTGTCTATAAATAGGACTGAATCAACTGATTGTAAAAAAAAAAAGTCAAAAAGGACTGTAATGCTCTTTTTGATGATAATTTTTAAAAACAAAAGATGACTGTTGTGGACATCGGCACACTTGCCAAACCACATAAAAATTTTGTGTTCATTTTTCTTCTTCTTTTCTAATCTGTGTGCGTGTGTGTGTTGTGTGATTTCCGCTAACATATATACCAACCATTCATTAAAAGAACAAGAACTAATCATGAAAAAAAAAATGAATAACAGAAAGTATTGCATTTTCTGTTACCTATCCATCAAATCTGGACCAGTTATTCCATCTGGAAACCCAGGGAAATTCTCCACTTCAGTGGTAGTCATGAGCTGTCCACCAGGCACACCACCCATTTGATACCCCTCGAACACTAAAGGCTTTAAATTGGCACGAGCAGCATATATGGCTGCAGTATATCCAGCAGGACCTGAACCTATAATTACTACATTCTCAACACCTTTGCCTGCAAGAACAAATACTCAATCAGCGTCCAACACCTTCAATTCCGCGTATTCGATAGCCAAAAATATACCGAGAACAGAAAAAATCCATAAACTTCAAAGTGAGAACCTCAAATTTTCACTATATGTCATAGCATACTTAAATAATCGCTTGTCCTTTCCCTTCCAAGGCAATAGATAGCTAAAGATAGAGTATTTACCAATAGACTCCTCTAATCTTAAATTCTCTAAAAGGTCATATACAATGTAAAAACACTAGATACCTCAATAATGTAGTCAATGAACAAACTCATATCAAAGCACAATCTAATAGCATATACAACAATAACCACATTACATAACTAGCTTACTCCAAACAAATCAAACACATGTGCATTTCTTAAAGATACATCAATTAACGCCATAAAATCTATCAAACATGTAACTCCACACCCAAAAGTCTAGCATATAAGCATGAAACCATTAGAGAACTAGCTCTCACCAAATTAAAAGCCTTAAATCAAATTCCATTGAGTCAATTACTAGAATTAAAGCAAAAAGTGATAGAGAGACCTGGAGTGGGTGGCGAGTCAGCGGCGGCGGAAGCTTTGAATCGGAGCGAAGTTGATCGAGTTGGAAATGGCGAGTTGACAAAAATAGAGCGTCGGGGATTGCGAACGGTGCCGTTTCTAAGGAAGATAAGAGAGTGAGAAGGAAGAGAGAGAGTGGCGGTTGTTGCAGCGGTGGTCATGGCGGGAACTGCGCCGATTCCGATTCTTATCTTCGGAGGCGTAGCCATAATGGTTTGAGACCATACAATGAATATAATATAAGCATAATAGTAAGGGAAGCGAACTAAAGAAGTGTACAGTGTAGCAGTTAAAAACAAAAACATTTTTCTGTTTTAATTGTTAGGGTACGGGGAACACGCGCTTCTTTCTCGGAAATTTTCCCACTCGCGGAAGTATAAGTCATATTCTAGGATAAACCATTTTCTTTTTTATTTTTAGATAAACCATCACTTAAACCTAATAAATCTAATAACATCAATATATTTATTTTTCGTTTAGAGTCTTTGCTAAAAAATCGTTTTGTATATCGTTGAGGATGATAAGTGGCTTCGATCCATATAAAAATGAAAATATACTTTCAATTTCAGAAAAATTAGAAGACTAAAAATATTACACTCTATAGCTTGAATATGATTGATTATAAAAAAAATGTTTATATTATATTATAAATCATACAAAGAAAAAAGGTGTAAGGGGATTTTCTTTTGATTTGCATAAAAAAAATTATATTTTTAATATATTTTGCAATAAATAATTTATTGATCGTGTGGTAAGCAATATGAATAAACGTGAGAAAATAAATTTAATATCTGTAAATATTTAAAGAGTAAAAAAATTTTATGCTGCATAGTTTAAAAGAATCAGTATATACTGAACAAAAAATGTACGATACCTTCTAATTAAAAAAAAATAATTGATTTAATTCTTTATCCTCAATCTTTTGTTACATTTATATTTATAAATAAATAAATAAATAAAAACTTCTAAAAATGAAAATGGAAAAAGAGTAAGAAAATGTACTCTTGTGCAAGCGAGTAGAAAACAATAACTTACCCGAGCGAGTAGAATATTTCGCGGCCAATTTCTGTCGCTTCTCTTCTCAAGAGTTAGACAATAACCTCGGGGGTTGCGGAGCTTGTAAAGCTATCGAGCACTTTAATAAGTTCAGTATTAGCAAATTATAAGCCGTTGGATTTCATCAACGGTTTTCAATGCTTCTTATAGTTAATTCCGTGAGTTGTTTTGGTAGGCTAAGAGCAGGTGATCTCTACATAGCAGAAAGGATAAACCACGTTTTGAGCCACAACAGACATTTTGGAGGCCACTCAATGATTGCCACGTAGGAAAATTTGACATAAGCTTCTTTTTTTTTTTTGTTAAGGGAATTTTCAAGTTAGGATATTTGTTTTCAAAATCACTAAATAATTTATCTACTTTATTGTGGTTGAACTAAATAATTAATTTGTTAATTGTTTCACTAAATTGTAATGAAATATCAATTTTTTCTTAATATAAATTTCAAATTTTCTTTATATTCTATTGCCAAATCAAACCTTTAGTAGTTTGTTTTTATCCTCCAAATATCATCAATCTTAATTCATAAATAAAAAATCAATTAAAAATAATAAGTTATTTAGATTTTAGATTAAATTATTTACATAATATATATGAAAGTGCAAATTGAGGGATAATTAGATGAACAAAGTACCTTTCAAACTTTATTATTATAACGATAAATGACATATTAAATTTCTAATAAAATTTTATTTAAAAATTTTTGTTATATAATTCCTAAATAATGAAAAATAGAACAATAGGAAAATGGAGAATTACATGACCCGCATATTATACTATATCAATTATTTTGTCTGTTCTATATATTTTTTTTATTTTTTATCCATCTCAAATTATCGTTTTATTTCTATTTTTAGAAGTGAATTATTTGTTTTACGACATCCCTTCAACATTATTATTACTCATTTTTATTCATTATTTATATTCGTACATTATTTTTTTATAATATTAAGTATTTTTATAAGTTTTCTTTTAGGTTCTTCAGAATTTTTAATAATTTAAAATTAAAATTAATGTAAATACCACAGTTAATTAATGGATTAACGTTCAATTTGTCCCCTAAATTTGAACACAACATATTGTCAGCTCAAAAATTAATTTTTTTACAATTAGCTGCTTGAACTTGCACCAGAAAAACAAAATGCCAAAATTTTTTAAGAAATTTTTTTATATAATTTTAACTAATAAAAAATTATTTAAAAATTTTAAATTAGAAAATTAAAATTATTTAAGAATATGATAATAATTATAAAAATTTACAGTATTTGATTTAAAAATAATTTAATAAACATGTGATTTGACAAAAATTATAGAATTAAAAAAGATTTGATTATATTCAAATATTTGGTTAGAAAAATATTTATTTTTAATTATATTTGATTTAGATCAAATATTTAATTACTTTTTTAATCATATTCGTTTATATTAAATAATTTATTTTTTAGGATAAAAATTGGGCAGTTTGTATTTTAAGTACAAGTTTAAGGGGTAATTTATCTATAAAATTAATTTTTAGTTAAATTATATATTGTCCAAAGTTTAGGGGCAAATTGACCTTTATTCCTTAATTAATTAATAAAAAATAATAAAAATTTTGTATATATACACTTTAATACCATTTATTCAAAATCCGCCCCAGCCACGTAGAATGTTACAATACTACTTAACAGCTACGTTTGAGTATATGTACGTTTACACATAAAAGTTTTTCACTAAAAAATTCAAATATACAATTAAGAATTATGGAAAAACTTACCTGCATCAAGTCATGGCTTATTTATAAACCAAATCAATGAAATTAATGATTTTTATTAAAATGAGAGTATTTCTGACTATATATTTAGGAAAAGATAATACAGTTGGAACACTTTTTAGAAAATTTTTAATTTAATTGGTTTGGTCCATAAGTTTGGACACAGATCCTAAGCAATTTTTCTTTTTTAAGAATTTCCTTGAAAAATAATTTTAAAAAAGCAATATATAACAGATCCTAAGCAATTTTTTCTTTTTTAAGAATTTCCTTTGAAAAATAATTTTAAAAAGCAATAATATATATATATATATATATATATATTATATATAATATATATTAAAATCATATATTACATTACATTCAAATTAAAATCTTTAAATTATAATCAAATATCATAATCTAACTGCCAAATATATATTTTTAATAGATAGGCCATTCATAATCAAATACTATTAAGTTTGTGTTTGACTTTTACTTTATTAGCCGTGCATCTAAGTCCTGTCTTTCTCAAATTATCATTTTTTATTTGTCCACGCTCAGCTCAAGAACCAAAATACCTCCAACCTCGAATTATTAATTAGTATTGCCTTTGGCTTCTTCTTTCTTTTTCATGGCTTCTACTTCGTCCACCATTACTCAGAGGAAATGCGATGTGTTCCTTAATTTTACAAGTGCAGATAATCGCGAGAGCTTTGTAACTGAAATTTGCAAAGCTTTACAGCGAAACTTGATCCAGACTTTCATCATCGATGATGAACTTGCTGGAGGAGGAGAAGAGGTGTTTTCGAAAATAGAAGAAGCAAGTATTTCTTTAGTCATTTTCACAGAAGACTATGCTTCTTCTACTTGTTGTCTGGATAACCTCTTAAAGATAGTTGAATGTAAGGAGACGAAAGGACAAATTGTAATACCAGTTTTTTACCGAGTAGATCCAACTCATGTTCAACACTTGAAGGGAAATTTTGGGGTTGCATTTGATAAACTTACACAAGAATTGAGAATCTCTCTGCTCAAAGTGGAGAGTTGGAGAGGTGCTTTGATTGGGATTGCAAATCTCAAAGGATGGGCTTCAAGCATAACCAAGTAAGGTTTTTTTTTTTTTTTTTTTTTTTTTTTTTTTTTTTTTTTTTTTTTTTTTTTGGCTTTGGGGTGATCAAGTTGCTAAAATTTTTTGGTATTTTTTTTTTTTTTTTTTTTTTTTTTTTTTTGGGCTTGGGGTGATCAAGTTGCTAAATTTTGGTATTTGTATGTTCTAGGCCTGAATCCAAGCTAATTGAGGAAATCGTGAATGATATTTTGAAGAAACTTAATCAAGTGTTCTTCAATGGTTCTGTCTTAGTTGGAATCAATTCACAAATCAAGAAAGTTGAATCATTATTGGCCATTCAATCACAATGTGTGCGCTCTATAGGAATATGGGGAATGGGAGGCATTGGTAAGACGACCATTGCTGAAGTTCTATTTAATCGAATTTCTTCTCAGTTTGATTGTCAATGCTATGTTCCAAATGTGAGGGAACAACTAGAAAAACGTACAGTAGCTCATATAAAAGCTGAAATTCTTTCCAAGTTACTGGGAATAAGAAGTTTCCAAGTCCGGATGCCCAATATATTTTCAAATTTCATTAGGAACAAGCTTATGAAGAAGAAAGTTCTTATTGTTCTTGATGATGTGGATAATTCTGAGGTAGTAAAGGATTTAGTAGGAGACTGTGATTTGTATGGTTCTGGAAGTAGAATTATTGTAACTAGCAGAGATAAACAAGTACTTAAAAACGCTGATACTGAGGAATATATTTATGAAGTTGAGAGATTGGACGACTACGAAGCTATTCAGTTATTTAGCTTGCATGCTTTCAAACAAGATGCTCCACCAGAAGAATTTATGAAGCTGTCAGAAAGGGCAATAAGCTATGCCCAAGGCATTCCATTAGCTATTAAAATTTTAGGCTCCAGTCTATATTACAGAAGTGTGAATGAGTGGGAAATGGAATTGGCAAAACTTGAAAACAGCCCGGACAAAACAATTGAGGAAGTTCTGAAAATTAGTTATGATGGATTAGAAAGCAGTGAACAAAGCATATTTCTTGATATTGCATGCTTTTTTAAAGGAGAGGATAGAACTCGCGTTCAAAGGATATTAAATGGTTGTGGATTCTTTGCAGATATTGGAATACGTTGTCTCTTAGATAAGTCTCTCATAACTGTTTCATCTGATAATAATAAATTGGGAATGCATGATTTGCTGCAGCAAATGGGAAGAAATATTGTTTGCTTGGAATGCATTCATCAACCTGGAGAACGTAGTAGATTGTGGATTCCAGAGGACGTCTATCTTGTATTGACAAGAGAAAAGGTAAGGGCCTTTTATACTTGAATTTTACAGAAAATGCGTGTCCAGTGCTAAAATTAATTGTTTCCTTGGATTTTGTATTTAGGGGACTGGAAACGTTGAAGGAATATCATTAGACAAGTCGAAAATCAGAGACATAGAACTAAGTCCAACAGTCTTTGAGAGTATGTATAATCTTAGGTTGCTTGAATTCCACAATCCATTCACTAGTGAAGTGAAGATATATCTTCCTAAAGGACTCCAATTTCTTCCGAATGAGTTAAGATTTCTTTGCTGGGACAAATACCCTTTGAAATCTTTGCCACCAAGTTTTTGTGCAGAGAAGCTCATGGAACTTCGCATGCCAGAAAGCCAACTTAAAGAGCTTTGGAATGGAGTTCAGGTATGTTTTAACATGCTTCTTTTTAGTATCTAATGGGAAATTTAGATATGTTCACTTATTGTTAACCCTTTTTTATCCTTCCATAACAGAATCTTGGAAATTTGAAATCTATTGATCTTAGCCGCTCTAAGCATCTAAATAAGATTCCAGACTTATGTAGAGCCCAAAAACTTGAGGTTTTGAAGTTGAATGGCTGTACAAATTTGGTTGAGATTCCTTCATCTATTCAAAATCTAAGCAAGTTGCGTCGACTTATTCTAGATGGATGCAAAATTCTCGATAGTTTATTAAGCTGCCTTCCTCAGAACATAAATGAACTGAGTTTAGATGGATGCACAATAAAACAATTGCCATCATCAATTGGCGAGTTGAAATGTCTTGAAATAATTATTCTTCGACGCTCAAAATTGACATTTCTCCCCGACACTTTCTGCAAACTGAAATCTCTTATACTGCTCAATATGTCAGATTGTACGAGTCTCACTGAACTGCCAGAGAACTTGGGGAATTTAGAATCTTTGAAAGTATTGCATGCTAATACAAGTGGGCTAAAAAAATTACCATCCTCCATGAATCAGTGGGCGCAATTGGAATCATTAGATTGTTCAGGATGTAAAGGTTTAAAGTTGCCTCCTTTGACAGACCTGCCTCATCTCGAGAAACTTTATCTTAACGGTTGTGACATGCTAGAATTTCCTCAAGGTCTCTGCTCCCTGAAGTCATTGGTCGACTTAAATGTGAGTGGAAATAATTTTGAGACCATACCTGCAAGCATCAAACAACTCTCTCATTTGGAGAGGCTTTTTTTAAGAGATTGCAAGAGACTTGAACATTTGCCAGATCTTCCATTGGCTCTGACATGTTTATATGCAAGAAACTGCACGTCTCTAGAATCGGTATCAACTTCATTTTTATCAGCACAGGAACCGAAACGTACCATTTTAGACTTCTGTAATTGCATGAAAATAAATCAGGAAACACAGAGTAAAATTGTGGACGACGTATTGGCAACACATTTACTCAATGACAATCAGGTCCTTGTCTGTCTCTATAAAAATGGTTCTGATTTCATTTTCATGTCAGTTAAATAACTGTATTTGATTTTGTTTGTACAGCCTCGCTATAGAGGTGCCAGGATACATATTGCTGGGAGTAAAATGGCAGAGGGTATGAGGTATCAGAACAGTAATGGGTCGTCTTTGTCTTTCATGCTCGACGGCCGGCAGCCGGACTTGATTGGTCTCTCTTTATGTGCTGTGGTTGCACCCAATGGACCTCCTCCTCCTTATGACTTCATAAATATTAGATGTAAAGCCCTTCTTACAGGCAAGTCTGGACATAGCCGGAGTAATGATTTTTGTTTTTTCAGTTTTCCAGATGAAGTAGAAATCCAATCGGAGACTGTGTTTATGTGGGCTAATTCAATTTCTTGGGATTCCGAAGACAGTTTGAGCCGGGCTTCATTTCATTTCTTGATGAATTACCATAATGAAGAAGAAGAAGACTACTACGAGTGCGAGGAGTTGATAGTTAAGTGTGGAGTTCATCCAATCTTCAAAGATAAAAAGAGCAAAAATAAAGATGAAGAGGCGGAATATCTGCAACCTCCCCTGAAAAGATTGAAAGAAAACCATATCTAATCTCTCTTTTTTTAGCCATGCTTCAGTGTTTGCACAATTCTAAGAGAAAATGCCAACAACTTGTATATATTTATAATTAATGATACATAATCCATGCATAGATTTTTAAATTTTCATGTACATATTTATAAAAAATAATTTTCTTCGTAAATACTATAAATCCTTTTTACATCAAAATCATAGTTTTTCAATTTTTACACTAACCAATTCGTTTTTATAACTATTTCATACCTTGATATTGAGCAAATAACAAAAGTTGTATGTTTTCTTTAAAAAAAAAAAAAAAAAAAAAAATAACCAAAAGTTGTAATGTTTTCTTTAAAAAAAAAAAAAAAAAAAAAAAATTGTATGGTTGCAAATATTTATTTGTTACTAATAGATCCTTTTAAAAAAAAAAAAAAAAAAAAAAATTGTATGTGCAAATATTTATTTGTTACTAATAGATCCTGCAAAAAATAAAATACACAAATTACACTAATGAAATTAAATAAATCATACACTGAAAAAAAATTTAAAAAATCCATCAATTTCAATTACATCAAAACATTATTAACAAACCCAAAACAATTCTACTGAAGAAGTAAAACTTGTTCTTCCTCTCTTCTTCCCTACTGGATTGTGAACTGAATATCGAAGCAAGTGTTTGAAGTGTGTGAATTTGATCTATTCGAGAACAAATACCCAAAAATTTTCTTCCAGAAATTGTCTAACATATAAGAACAACAGAATTGTGTGAATAAAATTTTGGTTTGCTATAGAGACGATTATTTGCGCGTAATAACTCATTCTGTTCTTCACAATCAAAGACCACCAAAACATAAAAATTAAAGATTGGTTATCCAGCTTTGAAAATTGATTAACACATATAATAAATAACATAAATATAATTTTATAATATCCTTACTAATCTAAGTCCAACTTTAAGACTTTTAACTTATCAAAACGCTAAACGCTATTTTTTTTTTTTTTTGGTAACCGAAAAGTTACTAAAACAGCTAATAACTAAATGCTATTAAAATAGCTAACAGCTATCAAAACAGTTAATTTTGCCGAACCGACTCTAATTGTTAAAGTTAAATGGGCTAACTAAGTTATAAAAAAATACCAAAATATTTTGCCACGGGAACAAAATCCTACATTAGATAGGTTAGGGAAGGGTTTTAGACTTGTATGTGTGGTGCTACGTATTCCATAAAGCCAGTCTATCAACAGAGCTAATGGTGGCATAATGATAAAGTTTTATTACAGTCGACTCGAACTTGACTCTGATATTCACTAAGCGGCCATAAAGTGGAGACGACAAGGTAGCTAACAACAATAAGGGTTGTCAATACTCAAAAGAATGAACAACAAAGAAAAAGAATGCCAAATTGAAACAGAAAACCCAAATTGTTAGAGAATATTGTCTTTTTTGTTAATGTCCACCTTTCTTAAATAAAGACAGTATGGATACCATCATAGTGAAAGACACTCTCACTAAATCTAACCTAAACTTAGGTTCAATTACATAGATATAGCCTAACATGTTTATGGAAATTATGATAGTGAAAGACACTCCAGCTAAACTTGTGTTCCGCAATAGCTTTTACCGTTTTGACAATAATATTTTTTATAATGTTTAGTAGTATATCGTTTGAGCTAGCTTTTAGAAATTAAGATAGCATTTTATAAAAAGTTAATCCATGTAACATTTAACTTTTAACATTTTATAAAAAGTTATTAAACACAGCTAACAGCTAAATTCTATTAAAATAGCTAACAGCTACTAAAACAGTTAATTTTACCGAACAGACCCAAACTTAGGTTTAATTATACAGATATAGGTTTAAAATATTTAATGGATATAATTATAGTGAAAGATTAACTCGCATCATAAGATAGAAATAGCATTTACACATGAATAAACATTACCGAAAAATTAACTAGAAATACATTTGATTACATTAAATTACTACTTAAGATTAGATTCTCATTCGTTCAAACTCACTATATTATTTTGATAAGTTTAATTTATTTGTCTAAATATATTTATGAATTAATCCTTCACTTATACATAAAATTATGGAGGGCAGGAGTGGCCCCATGAATTCAATTTTTTTTTAAAAACAATTTACTTTATAAATTAATAAAAAATTAGTTTTTTAATTTTATTTATCTAAATTTTGTTCTTTGACTCTCTTACTTTAAATTTGCATGTGCCGATGAATAATTTTCTCTTGTTTACAAATCTTTTTTGTCCTATTAAGATTAAAAATCTTAAATCTTTTAACTACTAGTATGGTGTTTCTTTTTTCCTCAAAAATAAATATTTATTTACTATTATAATAACAATAATTATAGTAATCTGAGTTATCCATGCATGTGGGTGGAGCGTGCTGTGATGCTCCCCACTAGCCGCAGTATAGCAAGTGGGAACATAAAGCTGTGGTTGGTGAAGAAGATGGATTGAAAGGGACAAAACTATACATTATAATATATAGCACACAACTTCAATTTTATGTATATTTTTTCTATTGACAAAATTATATATATATAAAGAAAGAAAGAAAGAAAGAAAGGATGTAGGAAGTCAAGAAAGCTCAGCTCCCCAACCAAAATAGGAACCTTCTAACATCATGTCCAAGTGCCCTGTATTCTTCTTCTTACATCTTATATGAATAACCTTCCAAAACCCATCACCCCACCGTCTGGTTCCACGTTTATAGACTCTCAAGAGAATTGGATGGTACCTTTTCAGAAAAACTTTTTTTTTTTTTTTTTCCATTTTCTATTTCATAGAGAAATGAAAAAAAAGAATTAGAGTAAAATAAGGATTATGGGAATTGTTGGATAAATACTACTATAACAGCTAATTTTACCGAACAATCCTATACTAAACACTCTAAACGATGAAGATAGAATTTTGACTAAATCAAAACAGTCAAAATTACGTAAAAAAACTATTGGCAAACATGATCTATGTTTATAGTTACAAAAATCATCCTGTTTTTCATAGAAAATTTGCGGAAAATAGAAAAGAAATTAAAAATACTCATCTCCAAGAAAAATGAAACTTTCCTTTATAAAATGAAAAATTGACTATTATTTTCTTTTATAAATGAATAGGGTTTTAACCTATTCATTCTTTTCTTTATTACTTTTTACTGTAAGTTCAGTAAATGAAATAATATTTAGTAATTAGCATAATTAGCTAATTATTGTCCATATCACAGTCTAAGGAAAGGACGTGGCATGCATCAAGTGCTTTGTCAAATACATAACCGAGGCTTCTGTGGAAAATTTTTATAGATGAAATGAAAGATACAATGAAAGTCAAAAAGTCACTTATCTTTATTTTTTTCTTTTAAAAAAAAAACAAAGAAAAGGAAACTATAAAGCATAGAATCAATGATTCTTAGTGGAAGAAGGAAAAAACAAAAGAAAGAAAATTTTTGGATTAGAGGAATTGTCACGTTAGATAGAAAGAATAAAGAATGTGGAAAATATCATTACACCTAAATCAACTAAATTAATATCTAATGGTAGCAAAATAGAATATTAATTAGCTACTATGAAATATTCCTACTATAACCTTCCCTTCTTCTCTCCTAATCACAACCGTTAAATCCAACAATCAATCTCGTGTGATCGATCGTCTTTTCATGTCAAGAAGAAGAAACTTGTATATTCATTTAATTAGTCTTGTCTGTGTCTTTGCTTCTAGACCATTTGACCCAAGAATCAGGATCATGTCACTGTTTGTTGTTAGGTCATTTCATGTGCTCTACTTCTTTTATTGAAATTAATTCATTTGTTAATTACCCATTTTGATTCCAATAAGTCCTATATAGTTTTATTATTGTAGGAACCCTCTAAATTTTATATTTTTTTTAATAATTAGGTTTCCAGTTTTTTTTTTTTATGAGTTGAATCCTTTAACATTTTAAATTATTTAAGTATCTAGATGAGTATTTTTTTAGTAATTGTTTTACATCAGCAATTGAAATTTTAAGGGTCAATCCAAATAGCTATAATAATTTGAAACAATTGATTATTTAATCTATATTTCAAGTATAAGATTATAATAATTTTTATGTGTTTTCAAGCTTAGGTGCGATTTTTATTTATCCAACTACTTATTAATTAAATCATAATAATTCAATATATTGTCAATCCATACACTTTAATTTTTTAATTTTAAAAAATAATTAGCTATTTAAATGTGTAGTGAATAAAATTTCATAAATAAATTAAATAAATGAAAATATGTCCACATGTATTAAAAAAATCAATATCAGTTAAAAAAAATGAGATTAATCACAACCACTAACTCCAAATATTTAATTTCTTTGTCATTTTAAAGCATTTCTTTATCACTCATGACTACAGTCACGTGTGAACGTTTATGTGTGTATATATATATATATTTGTGAAAATTTTATTTTAGACTAAATATATACTTAAAATATTCTAAGAAAATTGACAACTAAATCATTAAATAAAAAAAATTTCTGAAAATCTGATCAGAAACTTGGAAAAAAGGATTCCATGAGACACACATGGCTGGCAAAGAAAAAGATAGTCACTGTTGTTTATTGACCAGTCAAATTGATATAATACCCTAGCCATCAAAATTTACAAAATAAAAATAAATTAATGATTTATAAAAGAACAAGATCGTATGGTTGAAAGAATGGGTTATATAGAAACTATTTTAGACCTGCAGGCACTTTACATATATAGATATATTTACATATGATAAAAAATAATAGAATTTTCTTGAGAACTATATATAAAGAGTGTTTAGGCTTAGAAAATACGTTTCAACCATTTCTTTCTTTCTTTCTTTCTTTCTTTCTTCTTTAAAGAAATCAAGAAGAGAAAAAAAAGCCATTGCATTTCTCATGAACTGTGGAGCAGTCGTCTTGGGTTTCTATTGCTGGGGTTGGGAGTTCTTAACTGCCCTTCTTCTCTTCTCTTCTTCTCCTTATAATTAATCTCTTTCCCTTCTTCTTTTTTTTTCTTTTTCTTTATATTATCTTTATTTTTCTTTTAATTTTCTTCTTAATATTTTCATATATGGAGCCTGTTGATGATAACAACAACCACAACAATAATAATAAGGCTTTAGAATATCAGTATGTAAGAAAATCAACTCCACCGCCGTTTTTATTGAAAACCTACATGCTCGTGGAGGATCCGGCCACCGACCATGTCGTATCATGGAACGACGACGGAACAGGGTTTATCGTTTGGCAGCCGGCGGAGTTTGCTCGTGATCTTTTACCTACACTCTTTAAGCATAGCAACTTCTCAAGCTTTGTCCGGCAACTCAATACCTATGTACGTATTTAAATTGTTATTTTTTATTTAATTTTCTGCAGAAAATAATATATAAATATATATTTTAATAAATATACAAATAATGATCAAGTATCTGTCTGATATTTGCTTGATGTTACATATAGTTTGAAAATCTGATTTCCATGCATAGGAAAAAAAATAGTAGAAATTGTTGATTAAATAGAGAAATTGACTGATAATTCACATTGCAAAAATGAAAAATATACGTAGCTAGACTAATAATTATCTATACTGTGGATATTGGTTTTTGCTTGGGTGAAGTTGACTAAGTTGGAAAATTCTGATTTAGAATGGATTCTTGGTTGTTGAAATATGGAATAGGTTAAATGGTCCTATCTAAACCTACTCTTTGGTCTTCATTAAGCTATTACTAGTTTATTGACTTTGTAATATATATACATAATAACAAGTCAGAAACTTCCCAATTTGTATAACTTCTATAGTAGTATATATTAACTTATTGCTCAAGTTATCGCTTAGTGTATCTTGATTAAAATTAGTTATTTTGGTAGTTGTTAGTCGCTTTTTATAAAACCTTAAACGCTATACATTATATGAGTTAACTTTTCACAAAAAGCTACCTTAATCTCTAAAACTAATTCAAGTGCTATGTTATCAAATAATTTTTTAAGTAACATTTAGTTTTTTGACTACTTAAAAAGTTATTGTCGAATGCAATTTTAATCTAGTGATCGAAGCACTAGACCCGACTTTGGTGATCAAACCTGACATGATGATCAAGTCGTGGAGTCAGTACTTGAGAAGGACTTTCAATAAAATTGCTCATAAGCCTGAAATAGATCAGTGGCTCGTTCAACTGTTAATAGAATCATATATATTAGTTTATTTTTCTCTAAGGAGTTACGTATACGTATTCTTTTTCTTTTAATGCTAATATATATTAGTCTGCAATGCCGTGTTTCACACCAACATATATCATGATGTGGTTATTTAGGGTTTTCGCAAGGTTGCAACTAGCCGGTGGGAGTTCTGCAATGACATGTTTCGAAAGGGCGAAAAAGAGCTACTATGTCAAATTCGTCGACGCAAAGCATGGTCTAACAAGCAACAACCAAATGCACAAATTCAAACCACACCGCAAGAATCCGATGAAGATCAACGATCATCGTCAACTTCATCATCATCCGAGTATGGTGTCCTAGTCGATGAAAATAAACGTCTCAAGAAAGAAAATAAGGTCTTAAGCTCGGAGCTCACTGACATGAAAAGGAAGTGCAAGGAGCTTCTTGATTTAGTGGCTAAATATACACGTTTCGAGAAAGAAGAAGAGGAAGAAGAAGATGCGTCCCCGAAGTTATTTGGAGTAAGACTAGAAGTTGCAGGTGAAAGAGAGAGGAAAAGAAAGAGAGCAGAAATTAGAGAATGTGCAACCATTTTGCTATCTCAATCATGCAAATAAGTTGTGCTAATTAATGTAGAATTAATTAATAATTAAGGAAACAATATTGCCTAGCTTCTTGGAATTTAAGTAGCCAGCTCCCTATATATATATACAGTGTTTTAATGGTTTCATTGTACATTTTTATGTACTTCAAAGGATAATAAAATTATGCACAACCCCTTGGGTTATATAAATAGATATCTCATTATCATATATACGTATATATATACCTCTTCAGGCTGTCGAAATCTCTACTAACAAGTGCACTTCCGAGAAATTGAAATTGAAGCTCTACTAACATGCTGTTGGTAAAGAAAATATTGATTTTAGTATTTATACGGCTAACATTTTTGGCTATGAGAAGTGCTTAATCAATGAATTATCATCCACCGTCCAATAGCGTAGATCAATATTGACATGCACAGTATATTTTCAACCTCAGAATATTACTGCTTTACGTGCTTATTATGGAGTCTACTTCAAGATGAAAGTTCTACAATTTTACAGAGCGGTAAATTATTTTTCTAAGCAGTGTAAAACGATTCTCAATATGTTAAATTAAGGGATTTGAAAGAGTTCTTAAACTACATGTAAAAAATATATATATATCACTAACAAAAAATACTCATTTTTAACAGCTAGCTGAGTATACAGATTATTAAAAGATTAAAATTTAATTACTACTACTTAAAATAATTAAATAATTAATATTATCATCACATACGTAAAACTTCCGTGACCAAAAATCATTAGTAACACTATCATAATTATTCAGTATCACTATCAAAGTGATATATATTAACATTTGATAACATCGTCGAAATACTGTTAATTATTATTTTTAATAGTAAGTATCAAATTATGTTACCTCATTTTTAATATCCATTATATAAAATGCCGGGTATCAATTTTTTTTTAATTCATTTAGAAATCAAATAAATTATATAGCATTTACCAAATCAGTGAAAGAACTGTTGCTGTCGAAAGGTTTCGAACTCAAAATATTATACTTTTTATATCACTGAGAAGACTAATTAAACTATATTTGGTTGACGTATATTGAGTTATTATTAAGATAAAAGAAGAGTCGGTATTCAGTGAATTGAGAGATTAAACGAGAAGAAATTAATTTTAATAATGTGGAATACAAATATTTATTCTTTTGCTATGGAAATTTGAGTTCATGACAAGGTTTCCAGTGTGCAGGAGAAGTGAAATTGAATGTTGCTTATCAATTAGGAGTCATTTTCATGTGATGTTTACCTCTCATCTTACGTGTTTACTAAAATGATTATATATTGATTCCTCTCTTTTATCTTATTTGAAATGTCAAATCTTCTTTTTCCCACTTTAAAAAAGAAAAATATCTGATTTGAAATGTCTCATTGGAGGATTGAACAATTTTTTTTTATTTATTTTTTTAAAAAAAAAGAAAGAAAAAACTATTACTTAATTGATACGCATGGTCAAGAAATTATCAGAAAGGAATTTTTATATATTTAAATATTTAGAAAAATTCCAGGTATTTGACAATGGAAGATCCATATATTCAGATGAATTTGGATATTTTGTTTAAGTTGTGTTTTTAATTTCTCTTTAATTAATATTTTTTAGATCACTTTTTTGTGAAGCTTTTATAAACCATAATTAGGAAAACATTAAGAATAATTATTTTCAACCAGATATTTAATTCTATAATTCGAATATTTTTTAGATTATTAATATTTTTTTGAAAAGTATTTTTCACATAAATATTTTTGCATTCTTTTGTGTTTGATACGTTTAGAAAATCTCTCTCTAATTAAAAGAAAAAATAAGTTATTTTAAACAAAAATTGAGAGAAAAAACATTTTTAAAGTATTGACAAAAATTTCTTATAAATAATATAAAAAATATATATACACAATTATTAATCTATCGATCGCTAGTAGTCACCATTAATAAATGCTGATCACGACCATGCACTATCAATCACTATTATTTATTATTTTTATATTGTATTTATAGTTGATAATAAAATTTTAAAATATGAAGTTTTATAATCAACCTTATAAATTAAAAGGTTTAATATTGTAATTCATTGTTAACATTATAATCAAATAATATAAAATAGTTTTTTTTTTAGAAATAAGTTATTTTTCAAAAATAAATGAAATGTATTTCACAAATGTCGAAGGTAGGGTTTATTTCTCACTTGTTTTGTGCTAAAGATTTTTTATTTAGCTATTACTAATAGACTAGTTGGCTAGTAGGTGAGTGTCTCTTCAAGAATTTTCAATGCGTAAAAAAATTTGCTTTTCTTGTTTTGGGAAATTCTGTGTTCCAATTTTTGATAATTCAAATCCGTTTTATAGGAATTTAAAGAAATATAAAATTTCCTAGAAAAAAAAAAAGAATACCATTGTGAGGGAATTGAATCTAAGATGAAGTATCCTTCAATCACGTGGAAATAATTTAAGCAAAGGAAATGACAAACTCAATAATACAAAACAGTGTTCTTCATCACCCCGACAGAATCAATATATAGTCGTTGGTCTGTATTGGATGGATTTATGTTTTCTTCGTTTGAAAAATAAAATATTTAATGTTGTAGTAGATGATTTAGGACTTTTAGTAGACATTCTAAACCCAAAATAACATCAATCATGTGAGATGTTTAAGACTATATATATCTTGTGAAGAATATATAAATTTTTTTAAAAAAAAAAAATTATTTTTTTATAAAAATAGTTTATAAAAAAGAGTTTAAGCATAATATCCAATAGATATGTTTAGCCATCAAATATTTGTATCTAGTAATAGAAATGACTCAGTACAGTAGCCAAATATATCTTTAATTATAGTAATTTGTATTTATTATGTAATAAAAGATCTTAAGAACTCCAAAATTTTTTTTTTTTTTTATCATGTAAAAAAAAGAAGATTTTTTTATCACCACTTCCCAAACTTGCAAGATGTATTCTTCTTTTCATGGCAATGAAATCAATGTTTACAGCAATTATGAGTAATACAAGCCAAATGAATAGAGTAGCTGGTGGAGAAGATGCATGTCATATTCAAGTCATCACTTTTTTTATTTTTACTATTTCAATTCTCTTTTAAACTATAAATGTATTAAAATCTTTGTTTGATATAGCAAGAACCTTTTTCTTATTTGTGTGAAATAGATAATTTTTAAAATTATTTCTAATATGGTATAATTTTTTATATTCTCGCACATATTTTTATGTTCTAACCAGGATTATATTAAAATAAAATTCTTTTAACAGTGATAATTTTAATTTTAGGTTCCGAACTTTTAATCATACTGATAAAGTTTACTGGGATAGTATTTTTATAAACTCTATGAAATTAAATATTATTGGAGAGATTTTTTTTTAGATATTTAATCGGAATAATGGTGGAAATGGAAATTTTTGTAGACTTATTGATATATGTTATTTCTTTTTGATAAATTATTGATATATATTATTGATTGACAGTGGAGTAAATATGCAAGTGGATGTAGCTGAATAATAAACTATAAAAATATTATATTTTTATTTTCTTTATGTGTTGTGGTTTAAACGCTTTTAGACTGTAACATAAGCAGTTCTATTACCTACTAGATTAGAAGAAACTTTTTCCTAAGAAAGTAGAAAAAAGTTAATATTTTATCATTTTCTTTCTATCCTATAAAACCTTTAGTCCTTATCTTTTAATGTCGGTGTTGAATTTAATACTCCAGCACGCAGAAAAATTTCACATGAAATTCATATCAATTTAATATCATGTATTAGTCCAATTTATTAAATTATCATTTATTTTTCCTTTTGTTAATATATTTTTGGACTACAGCGTTTAGTTCAGCTGATTCGTAATAAAATAGGTCTTAAAAGTATTTAATATAGATAAACGTGAATTGAAAAATTAATTAATATTTCTCAATTTCCTTAAAACAACAGATACTATCCACGAATAACACAAAATGATGAACAAAGAGAGTATGCCAAGTGACAAAGACATCTTAAATGAAAAAGTTTTGTAAAGTTTAATCAAACTCAAATCTGTTTTTCTTATAATAGATTTTGCGTTTTTTTTTGTTTATTTTTGTTATTGTTTGGTTGAAAACTTTAAATCTACTAATACGGTTTATTCCTTTATTGCAAAATTTTAAAAAAGCAATCCATATATGTGAATTATTATTTTATCGATCAAATCAATTAACGGACTAGTTTATTACTACGAAGATTAAATCTTTTATGAAAATCAACTCCAAACAAGCGAAAAGATCTAATATTATATTTTTTTAATTTCGTTTATTCAAAAGGTTTATTTCGTTAAAAGATCAGCGAACTATGTTAACTACTAATAGTAAAATTCTATATCTAATCTACGCGAATATTTGTAATTCTTCATATTATTATTATTATTAGTGAGTTGCATTTAAAAAAATAAACATAGAAAAAAAAATCTTGAATGTTTCAACATCAATTATTAGGGTCGGTGACAGATAGAGCAGAAGGAATTTATAGTAAAGAGAAATACCAACACCAATACTTCAACGTTAAAAAAAATAGGACGACATATACATTATTCCCCCATTTTTCCTACCTAATCTCAGACTTTAGGCAATCAAATAAAGGAATGACCAAAAAGCAATCTACCATGACCTCTTCAAAGATCTGTATTTGGAGGACTATCAAGGGACAAGGTGAAAAATGGACTTGGAATGTATGCAGAAGAGAGATATGTAATTGAAATAATAACAATATTTTTGTAATGAATAATGGCATTTAGACCTTTTCATGCTAGCAAAAACATGACTCCATAGTTTATTAAAAAAATATATATAACTCTTCAGAAAATTTAGACGAACAGGTGATATTTTCATACAGGCAGCAAAACAAGAAAAAATGAGCCATGCAACCCTTGCTGAAAAGGAAATGTTTCACAATCTGAACCAAAAACCGACCGAACCAAACCGATTTAAAATTTTCAATTTCATCAACATATCATGATGGAATATGAACCATGACCAAAGTCCAACGGGCTTATAAGCTTAGTTCTAGACTTAATTCTTTTATGGTATCCAATGCTTCAGCAAATTTTTACACATGGTATCCTAATCCTACAGTGATATTTTTAATGCAGTATAAATTGCTGCTCTATGGCTGTAATTCCAGCACTAATATAACTATCAAAAAAAAAAAAATAAAAAAAAAATACACAACCTGCCCTACTCGAAACTGTACAAGTAACTCTTTTCTTGACCAGCCGGGTTGGGATTCAGCAAAACTCATTCCAAACCTTGACCCTGGGTTCAGATTTCGCAAAATCTGTCCCAACCCTGACTGCCACCACCCTCAGCACTGCACAAGTAATGACTAATCCATTAAAAATCTTGTTCCATGAGGCAAATGTAAGGCTATGCTTGCAGTTCAGACTTCAATAGAAGTGGATGAACCAATATTGCAGTGAAAACCTATTCTGTACCTGCCTTAATTTGTTTACGAGTGTGATAACAAGCATCATTAACATACCTCTTAATTATTAATATATTCTTATTATTCTCGTTTATTAATATATCACATGGCAAGGCACGCAATATAATGAAATGAGATTGTCAATCCGAAACAAGAGCTGCATATTCCATTGAATATATCATTAACAAAAAAGATCATATCAATTTCATTACGTGTGAGGGAAAAAGAAAAATTCCCTGAAGCACGCAATATAAGAAATGAGAATTGTAATCGAGGTGAATATTCCATTGAATTCTCGGTATTCATCTCTTCGTGTGAGGGAAAAGAAAAATTCTGAAGTCCGGTGAAATGTGAGGGAAAAAGAAATAAATTCGGTGGGGTTTAAGCACTTTCTTTACCATATGGGGTGAACCTTGTTACAAGTTTTTCAAAATTATATGCCTATCGATAATCATTATTTATTTCTATATTAATCATATTTTTATAATTACCTAAATAATGTATAGTGATATTGTTTTCTGTTTCTTAACATAGAAAAGAAAAAATAAAATAAAATTATGGAAGGGAAAATTGCTCTCGTAAAGAACCCTCATAAAAAAAATAAGAGGGATACCAGAATTAGTGTTCAGGAAATAGAAAGTTACCTCAAGAACGTTGCAGCAAAATGATTTAAAAAATGGTTTCCAGAGTTGCCCTGGCTGATACTGTATCAGCTTTATACCCAGTTGATTTCTGAAGTATGATAATGGAGGATAATGAGAACAGGTAGGAAAAAAATAAAAGGAGAAATTAACAAGAATTAGAAAGCACTAATTTAATTTTCCACCTATTTCTGCTCCAGGTTGTCAAAAACATACAAGTGAGATTTCCATCTCTGTATGGCAGCTGCAAAAAATATAGATCAGCAAACCACTCAGGTTATGTTGGACTTGACTTGACAGTGTGATACAGAAGTGGAACATAGCCCATATGAATGCAAGTTATTTTCACCTGCCGTCTTCATCTCAATCATTTATAGTAACGTTAACTCAGTACACATTAATTTGAGTAAACACTAATATCCCTCATGCCTGACTACAATCAAAATATTTAATCGAAGTTCCGGTTCATTGCGGTATTTATTTTTTTTATTGGTTTTTTTTCTAGTTTATCTATGTCTCATCTTATCTTGGAGTTTTCTGTCGTGCCATGAGGGTATTTTAGATTTTTTCTTTTTTTTTTTCTTTTGGGTGCATTGTATTTGTCTCCATATTGGTGAGGTATTTTTGCAGGCAGAGAAACATTATAATGTTGAGGGAAAAGTGCAGTAGATATGATTATGGTAGCAATATTTTTTTATTTAAAATCAAATTCAAAATCCCAAGCAAATCCAAGTCATAAGGATATATGGATAAAAATATTAATTATTACAATTTAACAAATAAATGTTGTGAATTTATGTGGAAAAATATTTTTCTTGGCTTGTATTTTCATCAAATAGGGACAATACATGTATACACACATACTAAGATACTATAAACCATTAGGAATTTCTTGCTTGTATTTCATCAATAGGGACATACATGTATACACACATACAAGATACTATAAACCTATTAGGAATCTAACTCCTAACAGAGTTCTATTTACAACTAATCCTTAACATAATGTTTGCTGAGTGATAAGTAACAAATTAAAATCGAGGAACAGATGTGCACAAGTGATAGTTGAGGAACTATAGGTGAAACTGAGCCCACATATGCATGAATTGAAAGCATATAATATTGCAAGATCAATGCCTATAGAACAGCAAACGCCAACAGCCTGTTAGGCACACCTAAAAGTCAACATTTGAAGTGTTCGATAACCAAAATGCCAACAGCTTCTTAGGCACACCTAAAGATCAACACTTGAAGTGTTTGAATGACAATCAAAAACCACCAAATTGCTGTATTTTCCCACATATTCGTACATGATAAATAATGGTACCATTCACAAAGTTGTTGATCAATATACCCCAAATAAACTATCAATCAAACATTTGCATAACAAAAACTACACATTGTTCCATCCAAGTGAAATAAACTAGATTTTTTTTTAATAAGCTATTTAAGATCCATAAAATCTGAATTCTACTATCAAATTACCAATATTGCAAGTAATGCAAATATATGGATTTTGGTAAATAAACACCTGAATACAACAACAACAACAACTAAGCCTTAGTCCCAAACTAGATAGGGTCGGCTATATGAATCCTTTGTTTCCAATCTGCTCTAATCAAATCAATGAACACCTGAATACCATCAGAAAATTTGAAAAACTTTATCCTGTGTTTTATATGTTTGGAACTCATGAGGTTTCTGATTTGATTTTGCTTTCTAAGAAAATAAACCCTGTACACTTCGAAGAACATGGTCGTGTTTAATACAGGTTTCTGTCTTCGGTATGGATTAAACTCTTCATAGGTTATTAATTTCTTCATTGTTTCTTTCCACTCATCAGTTTTTAACCCAAATCCCTTAATCTTGCATATATATTCGTCCATTATATTAGAACCTCCTCATCAACCATTTTGCCATAGTGATTATGTAGAAAAACTTTTTTCAAGATTTGGTTATATATATTTTACCATTCAATATTTCAAAGTGCTCTACCATGGGAAATGAAGAAATGAAAGATGGTAAGAAAAATCCACAAAGAAAAAGGCGGATGTTGTCACTTAGAACATACAAAGTTGGAGTATGAACTAATACTACAACGAGATTTTTCTGCTCCCAACAACACAACTGACAAATTCATGCAAAATAATATAACAAAAGTAATGTGCAACTTTGTGCATTATTGATTTTACCTGATATTTAACACTCAATCCATTGCAACCTTGAATTGTAGCACCAGGAAATGAAGACAGCACAAATGAATCGATAGTCGAAAACTTTTCTTTAACTAACCACCACTCAGAAAATATTGGCAATGGTATCCCACCTATAAATAAATGCAAACAAGAAGTAAAAATGTGCATAAATTTCATCATGAATCAAATGCAAAATAACATATAAGCATAGAAACTAAACCCAAAAAACATCTCTTATCAAAGAAACAAAAGATAGATATGAAAATTGAGCTGTAAACTCGGCCCGCTGATATGGAATGCCTGTCAGAACTTCGGTTCAAGGAAAACCCGAAATGTTATGAACCAGGGAGAAGGCCGGAAGAATATATGGTGTCCCACCATGAGATTGAACTGATTCTGACATTACATTAAATTTTATATTGTAAATATATCATGCCCTTTTGGCCACTAATTTTGCATCATGTTTCATACGTAAATGAAGAAAAGGAAATCAAGTGCAAAACAACATATAAGCGTTGAAAGTAAACACGAGAAGCATCTCTTATCAAAGGAACAAAACATAGATGTGGAAATTCAGCTGTAAATCTGGCACGCCGATACCGAATGGTTGTCCAAATTTCGGTTCAAGGAAAACCTGAAATGTCATAAACCAGGGAAAAGGCGGGATGAATATATGGTGTCCCCACCATGAGACTGAACTGATTCTGAAATTACATTAAATTTTATAGTGTAAACATAACTCGCTCTTTTGGCCACTAATTTTGCATCGTGTTTTATAAGTAAATGAAGAAAAGGAAAACAAGAAATTTTTGGGGTAAAATTTAATTGGAGTGAACAGGTAAAGGACAAGAACTCACCCCAATGCCATTCCCAACAAGAAATCTATCTGTTTTGGGGTAACAGAAGAATATCTAAATATGATTAACAAGAAATTTTTAAAAAAAAATTTGTTGAAGTTGATCGCAACTCAAATTTTTCTACGATGTTGGTATATTATACGAAGATCGGAAAAGACAGCACACATATCTAGATTTCATTAAACAGTTATAGATGTAAAAATAAAGATTTCAGATGTTGGAAACTATATTGGGAAAAGAATAAAAGGAACAATGTGACATTAGCTACAACTTGATCATTGAAACCAAGTTTATGAGAAAACTCCCCGTCTCTTGAATCATATTTTACAGTATGAAAGTCCATTCTGCTTGGGTGAAAAAAGATATTTTGCTATCATGTTAATAGGACCACAAAAAAACAAAATTTGTTTCCTTATGCAACAAACACTCAAAAATGTATAAACAAAGATGAAAAAGTTTCAAAGAATGCAGAAAACCTAGAAAGTAAATACCAAAGACATAAATAATGATGAGAAGACAAAAGAACTAGAAGATAAATAAGAAGACATGATATCAAATGTAGGTATAGTTACCATCTCGAACCAACTGCTCTGTTAACTGTTCACCAAAAACCCAATCAGAAACAGGTGTTGAAGGTAAAAGTGTCATTGCTCTTGCTTCATTGCCAAGCCAACGTCCAATCAATAATATCATTTCTTGTGACAGGCTGATCTCTGCCATTGATGCATTTTCTGATGTGATGGAGTCAACAGCCCCGATGCAAATTTCAAGGTCATCAAGTAAGCTTCTTGGATGTGAAGGAACATTGAGAAGCCTCTCTTGAATAATTTGGCAAAGGTTTTCCAAGGCCATGGAGCTAACCTCAGTGGGTTTAACCTGAGGCCACATACCAAATTTAGTTATAAGATTATGCACAAAATTTTTGGTAAACATGCCTCTACAAAAGGGTGGCTGGTGATGATTAACCTCTAATATCTCTCATCTTGAATCTTAAATAAAATAAGGGAAAACAAGTCATTTTATACCTCTAGCTCAAGGTGATTCCCAAATCGTGTTTTCAGATGCTGGGGACTTCCAATGCATCTTAATCTGCCTCCAACCTTCAAAACGATCAGAAAAGAAGACAAAAAAAAAAAAAAAAAAAGGACTGTCCCAATGCATCTTAATCTGCCTCAACCTTCAAACGATCAGAAAAGAAGACAAAAAAAAAAAAAAAAAAAAATCAGCAAAAAAAAAAAAAAAAAAAAAGTCAGCAGTCGTATTCATGTGCATAAAGCTTCTGATGTCCAAGTTTATTGGTACCATTATTCCAATTCTGGTGCACAGTGCCTGAGCTTCATTCATGCTGTGGGTGGTAAGAATCATTGCTGTCTTCCCTTGTCTAGTAGACAAGCAGGATATCACTTCCCACATGAACCGTTTGGCAATAGGATCCATACCTGAAATCATTGAAAAATCAGCAAAGCAGTTATCTGAGATCATGAAAAGCAAAAAAAATGACAAACAACATATAATGCTTTTTTGAGCAAAAATAATTTCAAAAACCATTTCATAAAAGATTTTTTTTCATGAACAGTGGATTAATAAGAAGATAAATTCTAGAATTAATGCAAGCGAGATGGGAGATAGAAAGTTGATTAAGCATAGTCAAAGCATCCTTCAAAATGCAAGTGACAAAAATAGTATTAAATGATACAGTACGGCAAATCAATTTACAAGAAAGTTCAATCAGTACTATCTTCAATGATCACACCATATAATTAGTTGAAGTAAACTGTTACTCCAGCTTCAGCTCTGTTTTCCATTGGCTATAGATGCATAGAATCCAAACTATGACTGAAAGGCACATCCCTCCATCTTATATTAGATTCTGAGTCTTCAAAAAAAATTCCCAATTTACATGACTTTATTATATGCATATTCTACAATATTATATTAAATTGGTAACTATTATATTTAGAAAACAAGAACCTTGAGGTTCACAACAAGGTCTAGAAGCCTCAACATAATCAATCCAGTGAGCTCAACTCAACTAACCTTTGATCCCAAAGTAGTTAGGGTTGGCTATAATAGATCCTTTTCCTCCAATCTAACCTGTTTAGGGCTATGTGCTAAGACTGCTAAATCCTTTTTCACTGTTTTATCCTATGTCATTGTATGTCTACATTAAACTTCCTATTCTCCTGCAAGTTCAATGTTATATTCTTAACCTACAGATTTAACAAAATACTAGAAGCATGATGAACAGTTCTGATATATATATGTAGAACTGAAAGGAAATACTGAAATTAAAAAAAAAAAAAAATGCATGTCCACAGGAGAACCAATTATGTTGCCTTCTTTTTTCCTTTTACTTCTCTTTTTCTTCCCTGAAACTGAGGTACTCAGAGAAGGATCAGCATGCTTACCTGTAGATGGCTCATCAAGAATTACTATTGGAGGATCCCCGATCATTGCAATTGCAACAGATAATTTTCGCTTGTTTCCCCCACTAAGCGTAAATGATGGTTTATCGGCATGCTTCAACAAGTCGAATTCCACCAACTTTTCC